ACGTTTTTTACATATTTTTTACGTAAGAGCTGATGGAAAATCCGATTGTCTTATCATGACGTTTTTTTAAAGTTCTATGAAAAAATTAAATATTACACTGAAATACCAACGCGTCAGTAACGAAAATCGATATGCTAAAATCCTATTTTTATGGTCTTAAAATTCATTGAAAGTAACATAATAACTCAAAGCAACTATAAGCCAACCCATAGCTGTCACGCTCTTGATTTACAAAGGATTGTCCCCTCGTAAATCCAACAGGAAAGTCTCCCTTCCAGTGACCTTCGTCATGCGCGATACACGAGGAGCATAGAAGAAATCCGCGTCCACGTTCTTTGGCTGTTCAATTGCGGTAAAAAGAAACGGGGATGGGGAGGTTCTGCGACGTAGAACGACAAGACGAACGGCAAGAACGAGCTTAATGGTGCTGTAACTCTGGCAGCGGGCAATTTTCAATTTCGCTGACTCGCGCGGAAGTGGCTTTCCCACCTCCGTGGCGGAATTGAGACGCTAGAAGTCACGGGGCACTTGGCACTTGGCACCACCGGATTTGACATGGACAGCTGGTCGCATTGGACGCGTTAAGGAACACCGTAAGGACAAAGAGCGGGTTTCCCCCGAATAGTTGCACGATATTGACCCTTTCTCTGCTTGACACTCGTCTTTCTATCGAAATGAATTTGAAACTATAATCTCGTCTCGTTAAATTATACGTGGGCTTGATTGGATACCAGTATATATCTCTCTCTCGCGAATGACGTTGACGTTATGAAAAAGAAGTTTCTACAGAATTAACTGTTCTTAGTGTAGGCGTAAACATGATTCTAACACTTAATAAAATGCAATAAAATGTTTATCTTTATCCTGGCATATATAATTTACTTCATAATTATATATTTGATTTGTAATACACGCTGTCCGTCACGGAAGTCTTACTTTTATTCCGTATACGCTCGATAACGATCTTAACGTTGTATCTCGAAGATCTTCAAGATCTGATCGTTTGAAATAAATAATAAAGTATCTATAAAAAGGCATGTGCAGTTTGCAATAATTATCGAAGATGCTTATCCGTTTACGTCAAACAGTTAAGGTTATTCGACTGCCGGTTCTCGCGATGTTCGCTCCACACACGCGGAAATGGAGAAGAGACGGCCGTTCGCTCGCTCGCTTGCAGTGAATGCGGATCGTTGCATGAAATTAAAATGGGAAGCCGTGAGTCGCATTACGGATCCGAGATAATCGGGTGCCGAAGCTCGCGCGCGAGCCCTTCCGCCCCCCGATATATCCCCAGTTTCGCGCGAGGATCAGCCGGCCTGTGAGAGAACCACCTGCGGCGAACAAGCGCGGCGAGGAGAAAGGAAGCGTAACGAAGGCGCCTATGCATACGGGGAGGGCGAAAGAATGGACGGCAAGGAACGGTAAGGAGCAAGGAGTCGCACGGTGTGTGTTATGGGCATAGCGGTCCTATAGCGGTAGATACCCACAGATAACGCGCTCATTTGCATAGGCAGGCGCATAAGTGCAAAGCAACGTGACGTTAATGAATTGCGTGCGTAACGCATGTAATCCGCGCGAGGGTATGTAGGTGAAGAAACGTACGCGAGCTCTTCTCGTGGCGGATTGATCCTCTTTCTGGGGGCTGAGAATTGGGGACCGAGATGTGTGTTGCGATCTAACATCGGAAATCCATTTATGCGCAATTAAAGACTAAAAACTAAGTAAAACGTATAGCTTTTAATTCAATAACTCTATATTATATATATATGTAATATATAATAAAAAAAGAAATATTGTTATTTTTTTAATATTATATTATTATTTTATTATATTATATTATAAATATTAATGTAATAAAAAAAATATAAGAAATATTTTTTCCAGAAACTCCAGAAAGGCTCCATCACTCTATACTTATTATTTTTACATAATTACATGCACATATTCTAGTACATTATACATATATAGTATTTTTTAAATATAATTTATTTAATAATTATTTTTTATTATAATTACTACAGTTTTATACACATTAGTGTATTTGATAGAGCGGATTAAAAAATTGTTCCTTTTTTTTAGGCGGGGACAATTATCGGAAACTGTTTGAACGTACGTCAATTCATCCGATACGGCTGGTTAAGCACTCGACACTATCGCGGTCGAAGTTCCATGCAAATGGGAGAAATGGAAGCGACTTCGCTATTGTTTTATCAGCTCGGTGGAATGCCGATAACGGGGATCGTGGGACTGCTTGTTAGCAATCGCGAGAAAATCCGTGGAAGAAGAGGAGAATTAACGAGCGTCACGCTATAGGCGATTGTTGCCGTTATCCGGTTGTATAACGATGCGATCGAAATAATATCGGGTTAAATGATCTACAAACAAACGCGTACTATATTCGCGATTGAGTTCAATTCGAAGCGTTAAATTTGAATTCGATTTATTACTTCTTTACTTCTAGTTTAGAAAATAAAAGCCATTTATATTGAAGTACCCAGCTAGTGGGACATTATTATATTAATCTGCTGTGTTAATTGACTTATTCTAACCTTTCCAAAACTGAAAGTAACATTTGACCGTGGAGTTACATCGTGTAATTAAAATTTGACTCGTTCGTAACGAGGACGTCAATATATCAAAGTCGATAAGATCTCTTTGGCGTGTAATAAACTCGCAATCGAGCGTCCTTATACCGAAATCGTATGCTTCCAAGTTCACCTGCCAACGGAACGGACAATGGAGGAAACCCACGATGAACCACGCCGAAAGTGACTCATCTATTCCGCTCCGAGCGGCCACCCTGGAGCCGATTGGCTTTGACGGCAGCCGGGGCCGCCTCCGAGCCACTCGTCTAGCTTGTCACCGACCTCGGGCAGCATGTCATTATAGAAAAACGCGATGTCCGTGCGACTAAAAGAAAAGAGAGGGGTAGACGAAGAAGAAGAAACGTCTACAATTAGCACGAACGCTCGCCGTGACTCTTATCGCTACGCTGCGTCGATAGCTGTTGTTAATTAATTTTGCACCGATTGTTTCGTCCTCCCCCCGCGCGAAAGAAATAACCGCAGACGGCGAACTTGCCGCAAGGTTGACGTCTACTCTTCAACCTTGGTCGGTCTATTCTTTCAATAGCCTTCGACACGTTCAGCCTCCTCGTTCTCCTTCTCCCCTTTCTCACTCTCGGTTTTCGTGGCCGGTTCAATTAAACCTTCCCGCAACGGAAACCGCCGCAAATGTTGGATACCTTGTAATTTCGCCGTCATTCTACGATCGTGCGTACTTAACACAGATCGTTACTATTTTCTTAATATTTGATTGATTGATCGAACCGAGTGTCGAGAGAGATTCTTGTATTACACGTAGGATAACTACGTAAAACGCTATAAAATAATAATAAATAACGATGAAAACTTGAATGCACCTGCGCGACAGATACAAATATCCGTTGTGCTTTCTTTACTCCCGCCGCGTAAGACCAATGGCCGAGAAATATAACGGTGACAAGAACGCCGACGTCGACGACAGACCTCGAGAACTTCATCACCATGCGGACCGCGTACCGTCGAATGGAGATAAATAATAATGATAAACGATCAACGTGCGGCTTTCTCGCTGACTCGCCAGGAACGTCGCGGACGAGGGGCAACGGAAGCCGCGTGGATATTCCCCTCGAGAGAGGTATTCACGGGAAGAGTTAACAGTATCATACCGATACGATACCGATGCGACTATCTTACCGTGGCGGTACCCACGGCGCGGCCGGCGCGGAGGAACGATCGAGCGAGTAGCGGCCGTGAAATCGCGATACGACGATACTTCGTGTCCGTACAGAATGATTAGAGAACGAAAAGAAGTGATTCTCACGAGACTCGCTTCATCAACGGCTCTGTTCTTACCAGCTTTCTTTCTTCGGTCCCATTCGGAGCTGTGGACATGTCCGGAGCAATTCAATTTTCATTATTTTAGCCATCAATTCTGGCAATTAAATTTGGTACAATGTCGATGAACTTTCTTATCAAAAGCTTGATTTGATGTTAAGAACGGAGGCGGTCTGTCGAAGGATGTCAATATTATTTAATAAGTTCATTTCGAAGCCAATTTGCGCATTGAGATTTCTAATTGTAAGTACCTTACTTATTGTTAGTCTCGTTGTTAAACGGAATGGATCATTGGCGAAGATAATTAATTAACATAAACAGAGTATTTATATATCATAGAAAATATTCGCACACAAATTCTGTTAATGTTAATAGAGTGCGTTGTATTTCAATATATATCGTTGAAAATATCGCTATGTCAAGAAAATATTTCCGAAGAGACCTTTATAACACCTTCGATCACGCAAATAGGATGCGGTCAGGAAGGTGTTAAATGAGGTTGTTGATGAAGTTGTCGGAGGCGCAGATCGTTGTTGGGATACAACGCATGCTTATAAGACTTTGCAGATACGTGCCGCCTTTTAATGCAGACATTGAGTTGCGCGGATAGAAGAAATGCAGACGCGTTTTTCCACTGACGGGTACACGTGTGTGCAATGCATAGTTCTCTTCCGCAATTTATGCGGAATGCAGTCTCAGGCGCCACGGAGCACGGAGCCCTTATTACAATGAGAAACGCCGAAGAAACCGCGACCCTACGTGGTTTCATTAACAGCTAAATGAGCGTGCGATTTGATCGTATAATAGGCATTTAACCGTCGAATCTTTTAACTGTCTAATTGTTGCGCGAACGCAATGTGGTAAACAGGATTCTTTATGCTGTTTTGCTATTGCGCTAATTCCAAATGAAGAATATTATCAAGAAGAGAATAATTACATATTTCTTGTTATGCGTATGTACATACGTGTACACTTATATAATATAATAGTTATGTATTTGTAATATAAATATTAATTATATTATACTTGCATAAACTACAACTGTGTGTATGCGATTAATCATTTTCTGAAGTAACTAAATTACTATTGTAACCATTGTACGTAAAATATACACATATCAAGTATATTGCCATTAGTATATTTGTCTGAAAATAATAGTTTTTATAAATTGTATCACAGTTTTTCGCCATACAAATAAAGAACGTGAGCAATTTACAAATCCTAAACCAATTTGCAAATACAATAAAAAATGTATAAGCAATTTACAAATCTTATAATCGCTAACTATGTGATAATTCTCGAGAATCATCCATTTTATTATCAAAGAAAAGTTTACACATTATGTTTATATAAATTAAATATCATGAAGCAGTTATATATAAACGCGCGATACGCTTTATAGTTTTTCTCCTAATTCACATATGTTTAAAAGCATTTAAATCATTTCTGAGTTAGTCGTCAACATTCGGAGGCAAAACATGATAACAATACATTTAATTATTACAGTCATAAACATTCACGCTATATTCGCATGTTTTCCTCTGATTTTTTTTCGAGGTGAAGATTTACGGGCGTGCAAGTTTACTTACGTCGGTACATATTATTGCACCGATCGACGGAGGTGGCGAGGTCCTGAGATCTGCGATAAAGCTGCGTCCACACGAGGAGGAGCGCGGGATAGAGGGGGATGAGCATGTGGGTGAAGGCTGGAGGGCTCTCCAGGATGTGTCGAAAGTGAAACTCAAGGTCTCATGCAGTCTTTCGTTGTGTGGTGCATGTATATGCATGGCCATTGTCCGCCCTCGTATGGGCTCGATCATAGCTCGCGATAAGCTTCGATTCAGGCCTTTGGAGCCTCCGGTTCGGCTCTGCTAAGCGATCGTGAATCCTCAAAGATGGAGATGTTATTACAGAGATGATCGTAAGAAATGAAACTTGTCTTGTGCTTATATCCCTCTTCGGTCTTCTAGCGTAACTTACACCACATGCTTGCGCGTATTTGGTAGGAAACACGTAAGAAGCATGCATACTAAAAAATTAAATTAGTAGGAGATAATAAAATAAAATATGTAAAATAAATAGAAAGCTATTAGGATAACGCAATGTAGTATTGAATATAGGTAAGTAAAACATATCTTCAATCTTTCAAAATAGATTGATTATCCTACTATGAAATTATTTGCCATCACGATTTTTCAATGTTACATTAATAACATGTTTAAGATTTTATTTTGGAATAAAACAGCATACTTACGCGAAGTGAAGCATGCCAGACTAATTATCGGCATTGTACAGCCATACTCAAGTAAAACGGGGAATATGAGATTACCGGACATGGCTCCCATTCTTCCTATTATCAATTCCATGCTTACTGCCATGGCTCTGACAAATAAAAAGTAAAACGTGCATGTATTAATTATCTTTCTTGCAAGTCAATAGTAATCGCGCGTTTTGTAAGTTTAAGTAACAAACCTCAAAGACGTGGGAAAAAGCAAAACAGTTGCACCAACCACAACGTTGAAACTCGTACTCAATAATCCAATGTATAAACACGTGAGTACAAGGGTGGTTAACGTACTTGTAGACCAGATTAGAGCGATCAGACATAAAAGCGAGCATCCATAACTGATAACTATATCCGAAAGAGATAGAAAGATATAAAGTATTAGTACTTTCTACTTTTTTCTTCAGTAAAACACTTTTAGTTTAAGAAACAAGAAAACGCTAACAGAAACTTACGTAATAGATATCTGTGTTTCAGATAGTTAACAAAAATGCTGGCAGATAATATACAAATACTAGCACTGGCCGATACAATAATAGTGTCGATGTACATTGAATCGGATACAACAATCTGAAAAAATTAACTTATTTAAAAAATGTAAGAAAATAATAAAAAGAGTTATCATGTAGCAAAATATTAATAGCAGCTAAATGCATAACATTAATTTATTATTATACATAACATTAATTAATTTATATTTTAAAATTATTTTATCTTACATTTTCACAACTTGATGTTCCTTCCAATACAGTTTTATTTGCATTAATAGACGTCGAAAAGTCCAATATTTCGCAAAAAGTAGGATTAGTTATATTCGTATTAAGACTATAAAAATGGTTGATTGTCGCAAAAAGTTGTGGCTGCCAGAGGCGAAAAGTATTTACGCTGTAAAAAAAAATAAATCAATACAAACACATATATCAATATATAATTGTCACAGCAAAGTCTGGTAAACCATTTAATATATGTTAAATAAACCGTTTAAATAGACTGTGAATAAATTAAAGTACGCGCAGCATATAATTCTGAAACTTTTTTAAATAATTTATTAACGGCATCTCTTCTTTTATCATTTTGCAATCCAATTGCGTTAAACTGTAGTTGCGTTAATATAATTTAGCTTTGTATTTTATTTAAATGCAAAGATAAAACGTTTCCATATGTATGCCTTTCGTTCGCACAGACATAAAATGAGCTCGTCATAATATATGCTACAAAAAATTGATTGTTTAATCTGAAAATTGTCTCGCTTATTTTGGTCGTTATCAATGCAACGCTCTACATCAATGGAAAATTTTCACTGAGTTCGATAATGCCTCTGAGTATAAAGAGAGGATGCAATTTAATCGCAAACTGCACAATTAAACCGATAAACAACGTATTTTTATTTTTGTTACTGCTGTTGGGTTGACGTCCGTTAATTTAGTAGAAGATCTTGCTTGAAGATTTAGTAGAAGATTTAGTAGAAGATTCAGCAGAAGATTTTAGACTTCTGAACCGAAGACGATGTGTATTCAATTTACGTTTGTCTCCTCGGCTGACATCCTTCAATTTAGTAGAAGAATTTAGTAGAACACGTGATATGCAAGTACACAGTATCCCAGGGCGATATGTATCCACAGATAATGGGATATATCTCAGCTAACAGCGAAACATGAAGATACAGATGTGTGTGATATCTTCCGCACTGATAAGGTTGTAAATTCTCTGTCATTCAATCATCAACGCGGCATTTATATGACTAACCGAGATTCTGCGTTTTTACGAGTCATCTACCTTATTGTATCTTGTAAAAAAGCATGATTCGGGAGCGTTATACGGATATTCGCATGAACATTATCGCTATTACCGTGTTACTCGCCATTCTGATAACTCCGAGATTTACAACCACGACAATTACAAACCTCACTGTTATTTGCGGCGAATTACTATGCAGCTAATAATAAAATTAAAATTAATCGTTTCTATAAGGCTATCCATATTAGAAAGCTTTTCACAGTCTATTTAATAGGCGAATACATTTTTTCATACACTTTTATATTAAATTTTAACCAAAAGTTTTAGAGTAATTAAATGCACGAGAATAATATTACGTTTTATTGAAAAACAATTACATATAGTTTGTATATAGGGTAACTCGGGGGAATATGCCACACTTAAAAAAAATTATATGCCACATAGTATAAAATAATATACTACTAAAATAATTACTACATACAAATATGTAGTAATTTAACTTCAAAAGTTATTTTATGCATAAAAACAGTACAAATAGTCTTTAAAATAAGTCAGAACAAATAGTTTTTAACATAAAAAATATAATTTTAAAATTAAATTGTATTATTAAAATTAATGTAATATTGGATTGCAACAATTGAAATTAAAATGAAAGATAAATCTTAAAAACTTTAAAACCTTAAAGCTCTTACAAATTTTAAAACCTTATAAACCTTGAAATCTTAAAACTTTGTAAATATAACTTTAAATTTTATAACTGTCAGCTACACTTTTTTCAATTACATTTTTTTTTTTTTTTTAGTTTTCTTCGTATACATTTGAGGCATTATTGTTTAAAACATGTGTTTTAAAACGTGTAAAAAATGTGTTTCTATTACTTTCTTTGAATTTTAATAATATTATTAAAATAAAAACTATAATACTGCCAGGAAAGAAACAAAACTTGTGCAAAACATCAGATACAGAACTATGAACAATTTCATGGTATTTACAAGAGCGTTTTTAAGGCCATCGCACACAAAATGCATAGCTTAGCATAAGCGTAACATAAAACCGCTAAACCAATGAGCATCCAGCATAAAGTCGGTATATTAATTTACATAAGATGCTCATTGGTCCAGCGTTCTTATGCTACGCTTATGCAGCCTATGCAATTTTGTGTGTGATGGCCTTTAGTCGTCGCTTTGTTAAATATAACGAGTGGCATATTCCCCACACTGGCATATTCCCCCGAGTTACCCTAAATAATAAAATGCTTACCTTAACATTCCACAAAATTGTATAGTAACAAATAATAAAACACGCGACACATATGGAGTTAAGAAAATAGGCTTCATCTGTTGTATTCCGCTTTTTAAGCTTGCTTTCACACCGTTTTGACATTTTGATTGCTCTGCAGTTTTACTGTTCAAATTCACATCAACCAAGGCGCGTATCTAACGATGAAAAAATATATAGAAATACTTGCAGGCATCTTTGTTTATAAACCACCTAAGTAATTTTATATAACATGATTCTTATTGTAATCGTAATACTTACAGGATAATTATCTTTCGGTAAACCAGTGTTCATACTGTAGATTCTCTTAAAAACTTCAAGGGCATCTTCATTACGATTTTGCGTCATCAAAAATTTAGGACTCTCTGGGAAGAAAGAGAGGCCAATGACGCCTATCAATGTCGGTACTCCACAGAGGGACAGATAGAGCCTCCATGAATTATAGACAAAGGCACCATCCCAAAGGGTAATTGACCACGATTGAGGAACCACTAGCCAAGCCAATCCTAACAACAATTGTACGCATTAAATATTATTTTTATGCAAAATTAAATTTATGTTAAGACTGTCGTTGATAATATAATTGTTTATATAATTTATTTTTTATGATAAATAAACGCCAATATATTCTACCTGCATTCACTAAACATCCGAAAGAAACTGAGAAGCCAACGAGAATTGGTATCTTTGTTCTACCGTTGGCACCATAAAATTCCGAGCAGTATGCCATAAGAGAGGAATATGGGCCGCTCACGCTATCGTGATTAAAGTTTAATCAATTGTTGACTTCTTTTGAGTGATAAATATACAATAAATATATAAAAATTTGGAATTATATTTTTAAGATTAAAATAGACTAGTTCTTTGTTTCCTTTCAAATAGTTTTGTGCGTGTGTGTGTGTGTGTGTGTGTGTGTGTGTGTGTGCTTGTGTATTAGCGAATTTAATAATTAATGTGATATTTTTCTCACATAAGGCCACTAAGTAATTTGAAGAATAAAAGCATCCCAAAGTTCTGCGAAAATCCTAATAATATATTGCAAATACCATCGGCCATGTAGCCGTATAATATAATCTTCTTTCTTCCGCTAACATCAGCGAGGAATCCCCATATAAAACCACTGGTCACCATACCTAAGTACGAGTTTTAATACAGATAAATTTCTTATATTGTTTTCTTATATTGTTTATATTACTTTAGTATTCTTTTAGTATAGCCTGAAATAGCTTTAGCGTTACCTGAAATAATCTGAATGTATTAAAAATAATTTCGCGAATACCGTATTGTGCACTCACCTACGTAGGTAATAGCATTCAAAAGTCCTTTGTCAACCAGTGACAATCCTAAATCGCACTCCGCCGATGCGAGTATCATTGACATATTAGCCGTATCTATACTTGATGCCCAGGAGGCCGGGATAATCGCAAGGATGAGGAGATATTGAAATTTCCCGGTCCCGGCGACATTGATCGCCGTCTCGAAATCCGCAATTTTTGCATTTGGCACATCTTCGATTATAACTAGAAGTATCATATAATTTAAATTATTACATGCACGCACACGTTGTATAGGACAAGGAGAGGCTGTGCTTGAGTCAGTTAAAGAAAAAAATGGAGTAAAAAGTTTTCAAGAGAAACAGCTATGAGCTATTCAATTTTCAGGGTAATTAAGAAGGGCCTTTTTGGCTTTTTGTCTTGAAAATTTTTTATCCGATTTTTCTTTAACTGACTCAAATAGGTCCTCCTTATCTTATATACACACTTGTACCAAATATATAAGTAATTAATAAAAGCTAAATAATTATTATTAACAATAGATACTATCGTGCCTGAAATATCCGAATTATTTCTCGTAGCTTTAGTAAGAGTATTTCAAAAATTTTCACACAAAAAATATTACTCTTCAGCAAAATCTCTTTTAGTTTATAAATATCGTGTACTTACTTGAATCTCGCTGTTCAATTTGTTTCTTCTCAGATACGTCAATTACGTTAGGTTTGTTAGACATCACGGAGTACTTATTTTACGAAAAATATCAAACGGTGATTACACAACACATAATCCACGAGCTGACCGATCGGTGCGATTTTCCTAATTTTGGTTGCGCGCGCGTCGAAACGGAATCGCGTTCAAGCGGCTTCTGTGGAGTAAATGAAGTTTCGATAACAATGTTTATACGGCATATATGCGGCACGCATAGATTCTGCAGGGTAATCTTTCTCGCGCAAGCTGATGAAACCACTCCGCTTTCGAAGACATTTCCTCTCCCTGTCACCTTTTCAAGCTCATCGCCTAATATCACTTAAACAACTTTATCACTTGAGTAAACTCTACCGTTGATTTACTATGCGCAGCATCACGATGACGTACGATTCTGATTTTTGTCGACGGGAATCGACACAACTTAACTATATATAAGATGTCCATGTGTCTGATGATCTACATTTTATATAAGAATTACAAGAACTACGTAATTCTTATTTATATAATTCATCTAAAGAAAAATATTCTTTTGCTTCTCCCAGAATGTATATGAACGCGAAATGGGCAAACTGAATCATTCCAAAAGACATTCCATTTTGTTCTACCAAGAACCAGCGTCAAAGGAACCATAACGTAATAGCTCCGTTTAATACTCTGTATTTTCACGTAAGTTGTAATATTCTAAGAAAAGAGGAGAGTTCTTTTTTTATTGTTTTGTGCGGCAAATACTGCACGAGATAGATTCTTCTGAGTTTATTACGATGATTTTATCGGCTAAAAAATTGATAAAATCAATATAAAGTATATTACATTATATAGTTTGTATAAAATTCCATCTTAAAGTTTCTCGAAGCTCTGCCGAAAATTTTTCAAGACAGATATCTACTATCTTTGTTTACTTTGTAAATCAAACTTTTCATAATGTTCAGAAAAACAACAACAGGGATATCTTATGGGAATTGTTTTTACATTTTGTCACCTATACTCATAAATTATTTTACCAAATATTAGTCTTGTATAAATAATATACATATCTTAACAAAGTATATTTCCCGAATGAATTATAACTGGCGCTCTGTAAATTCATAATTCATTTGATAAGAAATTGTAAAGGAGACTAAGGCCGGTATTTATAGTCGGATCTTATTTCAAGATCGTCTTAAGTAATGTTTTAAGATGTTAATACGGTCATTTTATTGATTGGATGGAGTCTTAAGACTGCCTTTAATTAGACTTAAGACGATCTAGATTAAAGATCTAACTATGAATATACCGACCTAAATCTTACTGAAAATTTTATTGTTACTTTACCACTTATAATCTTTACATACTCTCAATTTTCTTTTTCATTTTTTCTATTTACAATACTCATAAATCTACTATAATTAGTTTATAAGTATTATTGTAAAAATCTTTGGTAAATATCTATTTCTACATAAATATCAATTATTTATCTCTATTAGTACTCAAAATAACTGCTATATTTTTCAACCTTTTTTTGTTTGTAACTTTTTAATAAACAATGACCGCCGGCTAAAACCTTCTGAATAAGGTCACTCAGGAGGGTGACCTTGCCAACATATGTCAAGGTCAAGGTCATCGGTAAGGTTCGATTTTTTATAGATATTTACCAAATCTTTTAATCTCGCATTACTAAAATGTATCGACAAACATTTTTAATAATAATTTATTATAACAAATATTTAAACTATATTATTCAACGTTAAAACGGAAATTTAAGTTTCTTTAAATTTTTGACAATGATATTTCTGTGTGATTTCGCTTATCAAAATGTCTTATTGTGAGACAGACCGATAACTACAATACAGTTTGCTTTATCTGACGACGATGACGTGTCTTAATAAAAATTTACTCACTTCGGACTTTACATCACAAAACCTCTGCTCATAGGGCACGTAAGGGAAAAATAAGAATACTTTTATTTATAAATCGACCCCAAGCTATCGATCAAGCCTACTTTTAGAACTTGATCCGTTCACTCGTTATTGAGATCTCAAAATCTCGAGTACTCGCAACTCGTTGCGTCGCGTAAAAGAGTCACGGTGCGTCTCGCTTCGCGTATACTTGGCGCGAGACGCTACCGTGTCTCTTGATCACAAGACATTCCACTCGCGACGCAATGAAACACATGTGTATGACGTATCAGACTAGATAAATACACTAATAATACATAGACCAGACAATAGAGACAGAAATACATATTGAAGCACAATAGTAGGTACATGATGTGTTTTGCTGATTGTGAGGTATTCGTGAAGATTCAAACAATTTTCGATTGTTATTTCAAGAGCACATCAATTATTATCAACATTCTAAATATCTAATAATTTAGCAATAATTCAACATTCAAAATCTCTAATAATTTAACAATATTTCAACATTTTTAATATCCAATAATAATTCTAAAATCGTCTTTCCTTCAATTTGTATACTAATCAAAATGAGCCATTGTTTGCCTAAAAATTCCTTCTCGCGTAATAAGTTCGACAGATTTGGGCAGAAGATTGATCTCACAATGGTTTTCTCGAGATTATATCATTTTGCATGTAAGCCTTAAATTATACCGCTCATCGGTATATCTTTGTTCCTTTGTTGCGTCCTATGCAGGAAATACTACATATACTTTCTGACTTTACGCTCGCGATATCTATTTAAATGCTTGGAGGATTGCGAGAAGGCTGTACTAGACGACCTCTGAGCACATATTAACCACGTGCCCAATGACTATATGCATGTACGATTGACATTATGATACACAGATAGCACCGGAAAATTATTGCAACAGTAGTAATTTTCCGAACACTCTAAATCTAAATAAACGTTCCTGAAAAATTTATTAAAAATCGTGAATACAATTTTGTCTTGAGACATTTAAAAAATACATAAGATATTTAAAATATAAGATACTTTCGCATACATCAAAAACCATAAATGAAAAAGTACCACCAATATTAATTTAAGAAATAAGCTTACAGTCGATTTATATTGATGTTCGATTTAATTTAAGCGCGTTTCATTACAGAATCGCAGAGATCTACTCGTTCTCTGCGTTAGTTACGCATTGATCCTTCGCGGATGATTTGGCACCATCCAAATGAAAGCGTCCTCGACTACTTTTCATTCTGCTAGCTTCCCGGGCTTGTCGGTACGACATCGACTCCATATACTCAACCACCTTCGGAGAAAAAGAGAAAGAGAAAAGGTATACGCAAGGTCAGCGTATCGCAAGAGAGCGAAGTTCGTTTCACCGGAGTAATTAAAGTTTCCTGCATTTGAGCCGCGGAATCGACGTTGCGTGGCAAGTGGCCTGCTTTTCGACTGGCGGTACTTTTGTCGAACAAGGAGAAATAAAAAATCCGGCGTCCTTTTACTAAATGAATTAGGGTCAGCGTCGAACAGATAGTACGGAGCGTATGATCTAACGTTTGTTATGCCGAAGGTCAACGCTAAGGATGCTTGGAGCTGATAAAAATCGTTAACAATGGATGTATCGGCTAAATAAATGATTAATTAAATCAGATAGCTGACCCGAGTACGGAATGGTTTCCAATAACAGGAAGTTGGAAATATTTCCAGCGGCGAGCTACACGTTCCGCTCGACTTTATAATGTTATAAATGTGTTCTGTTATTTGATTATATGTTGTGATTAAACGGAACAGACATTTAAGTCTTCGGCTAAAAATGCCATGAAAAATAAATAACAATTTAGTAAAGCTAATTTTAATAATTTCAAGCGAGAGATTGAGTCTATAAATTAACAAATTTTATAAAACCGTGAGAAAAGTGAATTTATATGTATGTACCTAGTTGTGGTTTGTGACGACATTATCGCCATTAATAGGCGAAGCAAAATCAACATGAAAAATTTTATTAAATGTATTATAATTAATGTGTTATTGCACGCGGAAGTATCCGAACAGGAGACGGACAACCCCATGATAGAATTACGGAGCAGTTTGATAATTAATAATATGTTCCACCGTATAAATCTCGTCTGTCTATGTGCACATTAAGCGAAACGTTTTATATGGACTGTCTTGCGCGATCAGTGTGCTCCATAATGAATGCAGTCGACATAATTAATTAATGATACATGATATACGACGTTCGTGACTGACCATTGAGCATGCTTCGTTTTCTGGCAAACAAAACGGATATCTATTCAGAATGATAAATATAATTATTGAAACGTGAACTATTCAATAAAAGAAACTTTTTACCTTATTTTTAGAGGCAAATATAATAATAATTTGTAAACATTTATATTAAAAGAAAATTTATATTTAAAAAAATGTTAATTTGGTTGTAGAAAAATTTAAAGCAACCTGATTTCTAACTCATTTATTCGTTATTACTACTAAAATTAATTTTTTTTGTAATTGTGCGCGCACATATTAATTATATATCGAAAAATGTTTAAATGATAACCTTATTATTGTAATCGAGGTAGCCCATTAATATTTCACGTGCAATTATGCCGTTAACGCTTAGAAGGAATATTCTTTGCAGTAATGTCTTGTTCAGAAGCCACTGAAACTTAACCATGACGTAGCTAAAATATATAAACACATATGTGAAACTGTACTTATTATGTCAATCAATTTAGATCTTTTACTTACAATTAGTGCACCGGACGTTTCGTACATTTATACGTTGAAACATTATTTGTTAAACAAATATATCCTACATGTTATAGTACTAAATATTTTTATTTCCTAGCGAGGATGAACACAAAAATTTATCGAAATTGTAGCAGATCTTGATTAGCAACGAACTTCATATTTAATAAGATTTATTTGATATGCAAATAAATAGTAAGAATGAAATGTATAATATATTTAAATGCAATTTTTATTTAAGATAAAATGTAGAAATAAGCTCTAGGTTCATTTTGACGCATATTATTTCTTATACGTAGATACATTAATCATTTAGACATACAGAATACAAAGTACATTTCGGATCGTATTTATTTCGAAACACGCATCGCGTATTAAAAAAGCCTATTCATAATCTTTTTCATTATTATATAATTATTTACAGAGAAGTTAATTACAAACAGAATGTTTGTAAGCATATTACACACGAGATATATCGATACATTACCATTGCATTATGAAGTATAATAAATCATTTTTCTCTTTCTTTAATTAATTACCAAGTATAAATATTTAATGTAACCTCGAGAAAGTTAATCCAATCTAAAGTTTTGGTATCGATATTTATATTAATTAGCGCCAAACGGAGAAACGTTCTCACAACCGGAAGCGATCATCGAGTCATATTCAAGACTCATCAAGCATTACTGGTGTATACGTTCTCAATCGATAATCTCCTCTAAAAAAAAGATTCTCAAATTCTCCCCGTACAACTCTCAATTTAATTTCCCCGATCATTCCGGAACGTCGGCTCTCTTGCTCGTTCCGCAATCGCGCCTTCCGCTCCCACAAATCGCGTCTTCCGGTCGGTACGCGTGCTGGAGCGCGCGAAACCGCGCGGCGAATTCAAACGCGCCTGCCGCGTCGGGATTCGCCGCGCGGCCGCCCGGCGGCGCCAGTGTCGCGAAGAAATCGCGGCGAACGACGTTCGGTCGATAAACGGCGGGACGGAAGGGCTCTCCGGAGGTCCGGAGGCGCTCTCTCGAGTCTCGATAGCTCTCGTGGAGACGTGAGTGCGGTGAGTGCCGTCTGCCGTCAGTGCCGTTCTGTCGGGAGCAGTCGGGAGTGTCGGGTCGAGGCCGGAGAAGATTCGATTCGCGACAATCGCGACGCGTGGCTGACGTGAGTTCGCCTCTTCCTCCGCGCGGCGATTCGAGGAAACCGTCGGTGGGTATATCTGTCCGCGGCGGACGACGGATATGTCGCGCGGGACGGCGCTACTCCGACGACGACGACGACGACGGGTCGCGTAATCAATCGCGATCGGTCTCGCCGCGCGCGCGGAGCGTAGCGTCGCCGCGAACGTTACGGGTGGACCGCCGCCCGCGGTCCGCGGCACAGCGGCGAGCGTCGAACGACATGCGTCGGTTGCGGGGCGACGGGGACCGAGCGACAACCGAGGAGGCTCCTTCGAGGAACAACTGTCAGGATTGTCAGGGGGACCGTCATCGCCACCACCATCGCCGCCGACGCCGCCACCACCACCACCACCGCCGTTACGCGTGAGTCAGTGCGGGATCGGACGGAGGCGACGCACGCAAAATGGCTTCGGGCGACAATGTGGACGTGATCGAGGTGGTCGAGACGACGAGCTTCCCCGTGCCGGCGCAGCCCGCGGTGGATCACCTCAGGCCGGAGCAATCCATCGTCGAGGAGGACTGTGAGTGCGAAACCTGTGACACCCGTGCTCCGTTTCTGCCTCTCTCTCTCTCTCTCTCTCTCTTTCTTCCCCCCCCCCCTCTTGCCGCCCCCCTGCCGCGTGCCCGGACTCACCGTTGTGACCTAACCTATACCGGGAGCCCGGACGCCGCGTTGGGCGTCGTTTCCTTGCTCGACGACGATCTTCTCGGCGTTCGCGAGGCGCAAATCGTTGACGCTCGATCAGCTCGATGCCCGTCGATCGCTCGTACGATCGATCCTCGGGTCTTCGCGTTCCACGCGCCTACGGCTCGTCGCGGTCGATCGACTTAGTCGTTCAATGTTGGAGTTAGTCGACCGTTTGACAGCTAATGGGTGTCACCCGACCTACAAAGCGCGAACGTGAGACCTCGTATTGTCGTCCGAGTTCCGAGGGACGTTCGTTCGAAATGCGCTCCGCGTGCCGACGACGTGGCTCCTCCTGCGATCGATCGATGGATAAATTTGTTTGACGGTTCGAGCCGTCGGCCGTCGGCCCTCCTGTCGTCGCGATGTAAATTGTAATAAAATCTCCCGACGGGATATCACTTTGCTCGTCTCACGAGACAGCAGAGGTATGTGCGACCGCGATTACTAAAAGCTGCGTGTCGCGATTTCTCTTACGTTTGATCGCTCGCCAGTTGGACAGCTGATAGCTGTCGATGTCGAGTAACAGTGAACGTCTAAGTCCCGGTCTACAATAGGTGTTTTAAGCCCTAAGCCTTGTGCTTTATGCTCTAAACTGTGACGTATTTTTGGCCTTGAGCGTTCCTCGCGCTGCTCTAAGCCCTAATCTCTAACCGAAGCGAGTTGACCAACTCCCATCTTTAAAAGCTTAGAGCTTAAGGCTTAGAACCTATGTAATTTCTCTCTAAAACAAAGACTAGGGCTTAAAGCACCTATTGTAGATGGGGACCAAGTCCCGGTCTACAATAAATGTTTTAACCCCTAAGCCCTAAGAAATTGACCAATCACAGTCAATTATTGTCCTCAAATTCAACTGTGATTGAACAATTTCTTAAGGCTTACACCAAGGCTTACACCTATTGCAGACCGGGACTAATGGAAATTTTTAGCTCCGCTAAAATGACGATATACAACGAGCGACACAGCCGAGAAACTCGTTCCATCACGACAATCTGCCATTGTAGAGGTGATTGGTGCGCACACGCATTTAACAAAATGCGGAGTATTAAGGAGTGGAACGTCTTCGGTCACTCCCGAAGGCTCGTGCATCCTCGTTGAAAACACCACGCGTTCCACGCATGACACACTTTCCTTCCGCGCGACTTCGCGTTACGTAATTACAGAGATATCTGGCATTGAAAACTGAAAGAGCGAAGCTCGACGAGTAGTTTCTTACTTCTCGGATTCATTGGATTCTATTCTATTGGGATTTCGGGGAGCTGGATGCCCTCGTTCGAACGGATGGGTCCCGTTGAGATCTTTCCCCGACGAGCCGGGGGATCGTCTCTCGGTTCATCATAGAAGACGGTTGAAGTGTACTCGCTAATTAAAGTTTTACACAGGCTCTTGCGGAATCCCCATGCGGCCCATGCGTACGTGCAATTTTAATAAGTACGAAGAGAGTCCGGAAGAGAAAATTCGGGACACGTTCGAGTATCGGAGTCATCGACCGAACGCTGTTTAGCGAGTTTCGTCCTTGCCGTCGCCAATCTCGAACAACCTGTAACGATAAACAAATGTTTGATTTTTGAAAAAAGGAATGTCAGCTAAAAGAAAAAGATTTTTTTTTGTTTAATTAATGAACCGTTTGAATTAATAAACCGTAAAATAATATTGATTTGGAACAATGTGGTACGACAAAGTTGGAACAACCCGGTGCAATTTTCAAAAAAAATATTTTTACAAAAAGGAGGCTAAACTTCACTCATTGCGACTTCGATCGAGTTCTTAATTAAGTATTAAATTATTCAGAATAACTGCAAAGAGCTGATATAAATCTCTGATAACATGAGTTATAAACATTCTGTTTTCACAGAGTTCCAGCATGTATGATATAGAAAAAGAATGGACTTTATTTAAGAGTGAATTTATAAAGATATTGGAGAGGGATTATTTTGGGTACAATAGACTCAATCCCAGAGAACCTGTCGGTGAACCTACTGTTCTCAATTTATTGTATATTCCCGTAGGGTTTTCGCAATCTACCACCAATAACTATCCTCCTCTCACTTTAACCCTTTGGACTAACGGCTTAACGTCTCTTTCCGAAAGACGGAGCCCAGTTTGCTCCGCACAAGGGCCTGAATCTTGCACGGAGGGGCGCAGCTTTCGGAAAAACATTCCACGGCTCTAGTGGACTCGAACCTGGTTCCTCAGATTACAAGTCTGGCGCTCTACCACTAGACCACACTGCCGCCCAGAGTTCGCGAATTGATTTTCACTGCGTGTTCGATCCGCGCGCGAGAAGCGACCGGGAAGAATCGTCGTCGCGCGACGCGATCGCTGGACGTGCCGCGATTCGTTCGCCGCGACCAGCCGAGGTGACAACTCGCGGCGTTTGACAGCTGATAGGGCGTCGGGCCAGCCGCGGCACGTGGAAACCTTGTGCTCCCGGGATTCGCGCGATCTGCGCCGCGCGATCGCGATAACACCGCCGTTATCGGACCCGTGCCATCCGAGAAATGGATTTTTCCCCCGTCGCCCGGGAAAACAGCGTCGGAGAAAAGTGGAACGCGCGCGCGTAATACTGCTTCTCGCCCGAACTGTTCCTCTTTTTCGAAAGATAGCAGCTTCCCTCTTATCTTTCCGCCTAGAAAAATCTTCCCGCGCTATATCGGTTTATTCGTACGAGTCGTATTTTTGTATGAATAGATATGGGAATTTTGTCGAACACTTCATGGACTATCGTTTTTTTCCTCCATTCTTATCCATAGAGAATGGAGAAAGTTATATTTTGTCATCGCGTTTTATCCTTTGTAAAGTTTTTAATGTAAAATGTCATATTATATATTCACTGACTTTAATCCCCTCTTCCTTCCGTCTAGACATTTCAGCTGAGATTTCTTTGTTTGTCACGTATTCTCTCTCTCTCTCGAGAGAGAGAGAGAGAGAGAGAAAGAGAGAGAGAGAGAGCTCTATACACGCGACATAATACTCGAAACGTATCATTTTCTGAGTTTTCGATAGAAACTTTGGATTACCTTTTCACCTCATCTTTTAGAAAGATGAAGAAAATTGTATACTCTTGTTATATTTTATTCTTACAATTTTAAAGTTTGCGACATAAAATGTTATGTTACATACTATTCAGTGACTTCCTTCAGTGGCCTGACATTTCAACTGTTGTGAGATTTCTTTGTTCATGTTTTCTCTCTCGAGCATTACACGACGTAGTTATAATCGGAACCTACTACGTTCTGAGTTTTCGATTGTGCCGAGCAAGAAAGAACAAGTGAACATTATCTCGCTGAAGAATGTCTTTATTATCTCAAGGATGAGAGCCTGCATTTACATAACGCAATTCATTCTGCTTCGAATGGAAATAGTTTCACACGTTTTTTCGCAATGCGCGAGAAACGTCACCAGTTCACGACGTGAACTCTCTTCTGTGCAAACATCGCTTATCGCTTATCGCGCCTAGTAGTTTTCAGAAATTCATTGACGACGTTTCGGCGACGGTGCTTTTCCTGCTTTTTCCTTGTTTTCATTGTTGGAGGAAAAAAAAATATGACGAACAAAGACCACCGCGCGCGTTTGAGTCACGAGCTCGCAACGGAAGACGAGGGGTTAAAAATAGAAGGCTAAGTAAGGACATCTTGACTCGTTGTGTACCCTTATTCTACTGTCATCCCAGGGGCCTTTTTTACTCGATATCGCAAATCGCTATTTCCCGGCACGTTACACGTGCCGCTTTTTCTGCAATATCAAACTCGATATTGCTCGCAGTAATTTGCTAATCTAAGATTCTCTCTCTTTCTCGAGATAATAAACGATTTGTCATTCGTTATCGATAAATCTATCGTAACTAACAGATTTCTCTGGACTTGTGTTTAGCATTAAAAGCGATTTTCTAATTTCGATTTTCATTTTAAAAAATTATTTTTAAAAAAATATGAGAATTATTATTATGTCATTTAACACGTTCTCTCACACACACATACATATTTTGTTTATTTCGCATTTATTTGTGAATAGTATATAAATACGAAAATATGTAATGTAGATAATGTATAATTACGTAATTCATACAGATAATGTTGCCATCTTCAGTAAATCTAGAAAATCAGGTTTGCAGTAAATTCGAACTTTTGCGTTCAATAGTAAGTGTGCACTAGAAATATGGACTATGAAATGTTAATAAGCAATTAATATTTTTCGAAAGTCTGTTGTCTATTCGTTATTAAAGCACACACGTGTTTGCATTATAAAAGAAGCAATTTCGCTTTGGTGAATTGATCGCGCAAAAAAATGCCGCTGAGTCTACACTATTTCTTATACCTAATATTTATTTTTTTTGAAGCATATTTTAAAAATTGCTGACTTCATAGACATAGACTTTCAAATTTACATGTATCATTACTGCATGTATTCATATATACATTTCTATTAACAGATCATATTATAAATAAAACATTATTTTTAAAACAAAAAGAAATGATGGATTTCTTAATTGATTACACCAGGATGTTAATATAAAATAGCACATAGTCCTTACTTAATTATTTGATAAAATTTACGTAAAATTTTAGTAATAAATATAACTATTATCAAAATATCAATTTTACGTAATTTTTGAAATTATGGTTTGATGGCTTTTACGTTTTTATGCAGATCGTATGATATACATATATGACTATTAGGTATATGATCTTTTTAATGGATCTTCTTAATTATTTTTCATAATTTTATAAGGATTATAATACTGAATTATTCTACAAACAATTTCACATATTGCTTATTTTTACGAAACTATATCACGTTATCTAACTAGCGCGTTATTTGTTATCAAAATACATACATTACACCATGCGACGTAATTAAAATGTCTTCGTCTCTTTTGCAGATAAATCGACCGGAGAGAAAATAACAGCATTTGACGTAAGTATCGATCTTTCTTTAAATATTATTCTTAAAATATACGGAAAAAAACGCGTGTGTCCCATTTTGTTAAACGGCAAAATTGATTTTATTTGGGTATTTTATAAACACTCCAATGACCCGTTTAAATAATTATTAGCAATTAATGCAATCATATAAATGGAGACACATCTTCGATATGTGCGCGCGTGTTAGAAGCCAACTTATAAATAATAATTTTATTGTTGGTATTAACAATTCAAATGAAAACGACTATCAACCATGTTCGTTCACTTGGAGTTTCAGAGAGAATTTTTTATACTTGTTATGCCTTTCTTAACCTTGTATACCAAGCATTGCATATCTCCCTTGGTTTTTGAGTAAATAACTCGTAATGTTTTATACACCAGACTCGCCTAGTTTTTACTTCTTAAATAATTTTAAAAAGAAAGCATCGATGAAAAAGTCGTTCCGATTCGTAATGTGCTGATTTAATCATCTTTTAATTTTTCTCCATTAACGCTTGCTCCACTTTTGCGCGGATCCACGTTCATATTGTACTTATTGCTAATCGCTTATATGCTTTCCATTTGATTTTTATTCTATAGAAATATATTTAATCCGAATGTGTGCATTATTACATTCCAAATAGAATTTTACACCAAGCGCGTAAGATAAGATAGGAATGCGGATAATAATCTGGAACAAACAAATTGTTTTACCTTTTGAATTAATTCGAAATAGATTTAACACCGATCATAACATCTTTCTTTAATCTTCTATTTACAGCCAGTCGCGCCAGATATATCCTACGTTTACTCGCGAAATCATTTCTATTTTTGTACGACGTACAAATCTGCCCGTCATCGGTAATTTACGCTCGAGCGTCCAGGATCGATTCTTGCACGCTTGCGAAGTTCGCGAGGAGTTCAAATTGCGCACGAAACAGGTTCTCGAATTTGCGACTTGCTCTTGTTATTACGGCTCGGGAAACGCGCGCAGAAACACAGAGAAGAGAAGTATACATTATAAATCACCGTTGCACGTGAAAGATTATCGCGGATATCATGCTTCGATAATCATATATTTTTGCGAAATGTACGAGATCGAGCTCGGCAATATCAGTCACAACAAAGCAGCGTCTATGTGAACCCCTTTTTCTTCCTTGTTAATATATAATTATTCATCCGAATAACGCGTAGCCAGGGACACCTTCGGTATTTTCTCTATATAGCGCTAAATGCCACAGGAGATGTTATGTAGTATGTATTATGAGGCATTGCGTAATGCGAGTTAGTTGGAACCTATAACTATAGTTAAATCCTCTCTGCGCGCGCATTTCAGATTGCATTAAATAATTATTCAAAGTACAAGTGTGAAACTATTTTCCTTAAGTATATGTTCGGTGTTAACAAGAATGTTTTATGTACTATCAATTATCTTTGCAGAGCTCAATAGTACAACATGGTACGACAGGTGGCAAGGCCCCCGCGGGGGTATCGAGAAACAAATCGGAACGAGAGAGAAAGATTGGGCATCGAAGAGTTGGAGTGGGAGGTGAAATCACATATAAGAAGGTATGGAAAGAATTCCAGTGTAGCACTTCTAATAGATAGTTTGTTCAGATCAGATTTTGTGCTTTGTAATCAAAGTTAAAGGGTATTATTAAATGAAAGAGAAAGACTTAATAAGCTTATATTATATCATGTTGAACAGTATGAGTGGTAAGGTCTTATGATGTTAAAGAGATAAGCTACTTTTCTTATTCAGCTATCAATGAGAGTGATGATTAGCTACACATGTTGTATTTACTGATTCAATCACTTCGTGCAAGCTTATTGCAAGGAGAGATTACACTTTCTTCATTTAATAGCTTGAGACATTAGTGTCTTTTCTTTATTAATATTATAGGCATGATCACTTTATAGTATTAAGATTAATAATACCTGTAATTATATCTTTATGATTAATTATATATTTTTTATTTATTTTATACAGATCCAAACGACACAAATTATGGGATCTATTCAATTGGGTATACAGCATGCTGTTGGTGGTCTTGCGAGTAAACCGGAACGCGATTTATTAATGCAAGACTTTATGACGGTGGAGACAACGAACTTTCCCCATGAAGGATCAAATCACACTCCGGCCCATCATTTCTCGGAGTTTAAATTTAAAAACTATGCACCCATTGCATTTCGTTACTTTAGAGATCTCTTTGGCATTCAACCAGATGATTTTTTGGTGAGATAAATCTCTGTTTCCTTCTCTCTTAGAATTTTTTTCCTAAATTATAATGTTAGTCTTGTACTAATAATAAAATACATGTATGCATTTAGATGTCAATGTGTAGTGCACCACTGCGCGAGTTATCAAATCCTGGCGCTAGTGGGAGTATCTTTTATCTAACGGATGATGATGAATTTATCATAAAGACTGTACAACATAAAGAAGGAGAGTTTTTGCAAACTCTACTTCCAGGATATTATATGGTATGTTTTAGAAATAGACTTAATTAAAATTATTATTTTACAAAACATACAAAAAACTTCTTTTTGGTAACAACAATGTTATTTTTTGCAGAATTTAAATCAGAATCCAAGAACGTTATTGCCAAAGTTTTTTGGATTGTATTGCTATCGGTGTAATAGTAAAAATGTTAGATTAGTTGCTATGAATAATCTTTTACCTTCATCTGTAAAATTACATCAAAAATATGATTTGAAAGGGTCTACATACAAGAGAAAGGTTTGTAATATTATGTGAATATTCATAAGTATTGTGTATTAATATACATATAATTTTTTTTATTACATTATATGTTAAAAATTTTAGGCATCAAAAGGAGAACGTTCGAAGTCTTCACCAACGTATAAAGACCTAGATTTCATAGAGCATCATCCAGAGGGTATCTTTTTAGAAGCCGATACATATGGTGCATTAGTAAAAACTATTCAACGGGATTGTCGTGTATTAGAAAGTTTCAAAATTATGGATTATTCTTTACTTGTTGGAATCCATAATCTTGACCAGGCTGCAAAAGAAAAAGCTGTAAATATCATGTGACATTTTTCATATCACGTAAATGTCAATATATATTCGTCTTTGCATACATCACATACTATACATATATATGATATATTACAGCAAGAACAAAGATTATCGGCAAGTGCCGATGAAGAAATTGATGAAACGGGTGGCGAAAGTGATGGATTCATTCAATCTGAGAGAGAGAAACAGAGAGAGGATAGAATAGGCGCTGCCGCTTTAAATCGATCACGCAGTATAAATCGTCAACGGTTGGTTGCTCATAGTACAGCGATGGAGAGTATTCAGGCTGAGAGCGAACCAATAGATGAAGAGGATGATGTACCGTAAGCATAATATATATCAAATCCTTTAAATGAATGTGTACTAATATGTTATTTAATTATAATTAATTCTATTTTATGTTTTTAACAGTTCAGGTGGAATTCCTGCCAGAAACGCGCGTGGTGAACGTCTTTTATTGTTCCTTGGCGTTATCGACATTTTGCAAAGCTACAGGTTAAAAAAGAAACTGGAACATACGTGGAAATCAATGATACATGACGGGGTAAGTGACATATACATAATGCACATGCGTGTGCGCGAGTTTATAGATTTTCTTTATAATCTAATTTTTATATTAGTCTTTAACTTTCTTTTGAGATGGTCTCAACGTCCTATTGTTAATATAGAAGAAATGTTTTTTATTTTCTAAGGACACTGTATCAGTACATCGGCCAGGATTTTATGCGCAACGCTTTCAGGATTTCATGGCCAAGACAGTATTTAAGAAAATACCATCACGTAAGTACCATCCGAATCAACCTGTCCTAACAAGTTTGACTACAAGATTACACTCAGCAAAACTCGCTAATTTATGAGTAATTTCACGCTTACTTACCTACCGGTAGCGCCATTGTTTTCTGGTTGATCACATTAATCCAGTGCATTTTACAAGGGATAATTGACTTCTTACGAAGGCAAAAATAAATATTAGTTTTAACTAGGGGAACTAGTCAATGCAAGATGTTTAAATTACAAAAATTGAAACCTCGGTTTATAATAATATCAGTATTGTGATTCAGCCATATACAATGCTATCGAATAGTACCTTTTATTGACGCTTTTGAGATATATTTTAAACACTTAACGCGAGACGAAAAACGAGAGTAGAACGAAAGTTATAAATAAAGCTCAAAACTGGTACTTACAATATGCATATAGTATTACGATGATATAATTAGTAAGGGTACTTATAATGTTACTTAAAAAGCATATACCAATTCTCATAGACAGCAGTAAGCCGTAAGCTAGAAACATATATTTTTCTTCCTGTTACATTTTGCTACGAAACTCGTTCACTTAGGCTGCGTTTCGATATTCACTGCCAGTACTGAAAATCTATAGTTTACGTCACTTATACAATACTATAGATTTTTCGTACTATAGATTTTCAGTGAATATCGAAACGCAGCCTCAATTTACTTGTATAATTACATATTTTTTTGTTCGGCGTGTAACAAACTCGTCACAAAGAGCTGGAATATTTAGGAAAGCCAACAAAATACTAGCTTCCATAAATATTTTACTCGTAATTATTATCAGGATTAACACAAGCGATGCCAGTTTTAATAGACTTTATCTAGATTTATATTTTTAAGAGTGTTGAAAGCGCAGGTCACAGCGACTCAATTTTGTCTTAATAGATTTTATCACAGATTTAGCCGTCCAGAGAAATGTTCTAATGATTATAATAGCATTATAAGATATTTGAGTGACTGCAGAGAATGCGACAAATATACTGTGCGGATATCCGAAAATTATAGACGCGATGCTTACATCAATATCATGGTTATATTCGAATTTTATTGATCTATCAGTGCCTTGCGTAAGTTAATGAAATATCATGCATAAATTAAGAATTGTTTGTTGTAAAATAAGAATAACGCGCTTTTTTATCTTAACGAATGCGATATTTATAATTTAATCCGATCCAAAATAGAACTTTTCGGATACCTGCATTCGTTTCGAATCAATGCTGTGAATAAGATATATTTTGGGTTTATGAGTGTCAATTGATCATTTTTGGGTTTTGTTTTGGTGTAACTAATTGCTAACACAATACACTTATGTATATTTTATTATATATATAATTTTCCTATTTTTTTATAACTTTATTTTGCAAATTCAACTTCATTGTGCATTGCATATTTTCTTTCCTTTACATATTTTTGATACACAATTTTGTTTCGATATATTTATTAAAAAAAGAAATAGCGAATTACCAATCACTGGTGTCCACAGGTATAGCTGAGTATTTTTTATATATCGATATTGTTCATCTTGACTTCCATTAGCATTTTTACTTAATATTGAACTTTATTTAGAGTCATGTTTGAGAAAAACGATCGTCTTTACAACAAGTTTCTATAAAATAATACATAAGTAAAAGGAATTAAATATTCTTCGCTTGTTAATAATTTTTTCTTGATAGTAGTCTATAATATAGTTGAGGATATATGTGCACTTGTTAGTGTACAGATTGTCACAATCAAAATGATTTCTATCATTTAGATTTTTTTATCAATAATATCATGTGCCAAAGTTCTATGAAAATTCCCTTAATATCGATTATATAAATATATAAATATATAAATATGAAATTTGGATGGCAAAAATTTCTATCTTATCGATGCGCCAAAGCAATCATTGATATTTTCATCCATCAGAGCATATTAGTAAAGAAAAGATGTAGTAGAACGCACGAAATACATCCGAGCATTCAAGTAGCTTGTTTAACATGACTGTTTTAAAGAGAAAAAAGTATGCATGCCATAATTTTCTCGACAAAGGCTCTTTATAGAGATGCTAATTAATTTTGTGCGATCTATATATCTGTAGAAGAATCTCTGCGATATAAATAATGTTGAACGTATATATTTTTGGCAATAATAGCAAATGTAGAACCGCGTGAGTGTACGAGATTAATTCGAGAAAGAGTGCGAGAGTGTGAGAGCGAGAATAATCGGTAGAAGTAGAATTTTTTTTATTGTGAAAATATTCAGCTATCGACTGAACGTGGGCACCATTGTACATATTTATATATTTTACAATAAACATTTTCGCTGTTTACAACTTCATTTCATTTATGAGCCCACCCGTACACTTATAACTTACCGTTACTGTACTATTACTACTACTACTACTTTTATACTGCTACTATTACTACTGTTACTACTACTGTTACTATTACTACTACCAAAGCTGTTACTGTTACTGTCATTATTTTGCTAGCATTCTACTACTGTTACTACCGTCATGTATACTATCATCATTATTGACATTGCTCCACTTATGTGACTAACATCCCCTCGTAGTCGTTATTCATATTAAGTTTCTCGCATCATCAGCGCGTTACACTTTGTATATTGTCTTCATATTGTATCGTGTACAATGTGTTTGTTGTGTTACGTACGTTTGCGTTTTGTTGATCACCTATCAGTTATACTTTTCATATGAATAAACAGATTACAATTGACAGCCCAAACACTTTAGGAAAAGTCGTATAATTAATGTAATATTTTTTTTTTTAATTACTATGCGTGAAAGCGTCGTTGAAGCAGCAGTAGCTTAAGTCGCATAAATCTTCGAATGCAACAAGGCTTAATTGATCTGCTCGGATAATAATTTGCAACAGTATCCACGATATCAATTTTCCCTATCCGACTACAGAAAGGAAATACAAGCCTAAACTCGCTTTGTGTTTCAACTTTCAATACGTTTGGAAGTTTGATGTACCCTGGCTTTTCTTTAATGTTTCTATCTATTCTCGGCAGTCCCTATGATTTTGTCGTTCGTTCAATAATCCGGTATACATAATCATATTATAAGCGAAATTAGCTAAATATTGATGTTTCTGTGTCCCGTGCACTTCTTTTCGTGTCGACCCCCAATGACCTCATCTGACCTGCTACCGATCGAAACTCGAAAATTGAATACCAAAAGTGGACCTGCCTGAGATTAAGGGGAATCACCGCAAATTCCGTAACCTCGTCACCAGCTATATAGGTAACTCTGTCTATGTGTGCGTCCATCTGTCCATTTTTGTACGAATGTATGTAACGTTTGTTTTCACATAATTCTCTGCCTGTATATGTATTTTTATGAATAATCTGTTTTTCATGCTGTGTTCTTTGATTTTACAGTGTGTGGATTTATCTCACCTCTCATTTCCAATTTTGCATTTTTGCATAAAACGTCTTTTACGATTTTTTCGAAGAATCTGAATGATAATATTAATGAGATTCTAAAATAATTATTGCAAAAATAACTTACGGAATTAATATTAGATTTTTCTGCATGTGATACTCAAAGATATGATATTTAACTTATTGGAATGTCACATGTTTATTTTTATATCTTTGTTTTTTCATTTGCTGAATTTGAACTGAAAAAGATACAGTAAATTAATCTACTTGGAAAAATCAATTATATGCACATAAAGCTTGTTTTACATCTCACAATATAAATATATTTTTTACACAATAAAACCTTAAGCACAATTTTTTTATGTCTTTACTAACACATACGATTCTTTCACACTTGATGTTCCTACTAAAAAGATCTTTTTAAGCGAATTTTTAAAGCGAATTTAAACAGCGGAATTATACGTGAATTTTTCGGACATCTTTGTGAGTGTGCTTTTTGTTTCTATTTCCATTGCTCCTGCAACCATTGTCTGTGAAAATTGTGATACGTGTACTCTTTTTTATCACTCTTTACATACTCTTCACATATTTCCGTCCACTGTTTTTCTGACACACATTTTGCAACACAGCCTAAGAATTTTTTTTTATAAATCTAGGTCATTCGTCTTTCAATATATCCAAGAATAACAACCGCGATACTAGTTATAGATACTTTCCCTACATTATATTTTTCCACAGCATCTCGCAAAAAGATTAACCAAGATTTCGATAATTGTATTTTACTCAACGTGCCACTCAATTTCTTTCTCTACAAACTCTACAATCCTGAAATTTCCTTGTCACATTCGGTATCGTGCAGCAATTAGTTTAGCCTAGACATACCCTATAATCACAGCACGGACCGATAGATTAATGGACGTCTGCGCAAGTTACAATGAGATCTAGTTGTTACGTATGCATAAAATGTATTTCTGCAAACTCCAGCACAGTTCTCTCATGTACGTACATATTTTTTTCTGTGTGATTAACTACGTAGGCATGGATTAAAACGTAGTACGTATACAAGTGACAATTGCTAATCACAAAGAAAAGCTTAAAAGCAAGCGAGGCCAATAGATGTTGTCCGCTTGACTATATTCTCGTTTATTCACAATATATGTTTTAGATATTCTATGCCTGCGATTAGTATAATTAAATTATAAGTATAATTTAATTAAAATATAAGTATTTTAATTATACTAATTTTACACAATAAGTACGTATAGCATAGTTTAGAGTTTGTTAACAGACAGTAGAATAGTATAATCATAGACTGAGAAAAGAACTATATTTATACATGGCCATGGCAAGTCTAGTGTTATAGTGAGATTTGTCATTCAAGCAGAAAATTTAAATGTCCAAAATTAAAATTATGGATAAAACAAATTATCGCGATATATAAAACTTTATCTGTTACTTGATGAGATTAATAAATAGATAAATTATGTAACGTAAACGCGTTTATTTAAAATGATTAAGATAAATTACGTATTAAGCTAGATTACAATTTTAGTTTTATAGAGCTAAGAAAATTTCATATCTTTTCATAATTGTCTTTAAAACTTACCGTAATTATATCGCGATGCACCAAAAAGCAGAAAGTATTTTACATGCATAATTATGGTAAAAATTTAGCAACTCAATTTACGATATTTTACTAACAATTGGATAATAACTTCCATGATAATTTCTGCAAACTAAAACAGTATTAACGAGAAGAAGCCAATAATATGCCCTTCGACCCTTGCCACGGTACTAATGGCTATTGTAGCGTTTTGAGCCCTTTTAATAAGCGTACTTAATACGCGTAATTTTGACAGCGGTTTTTAAAAATAACTTGATGTTAAGTTCGCACAGCTCGAGCAAGAAATTATGGCATCGGTGGTTTTATGTTGCAGCCTTGAAACATTCCCCGTCGAAGAGGAAAAGTATAAGCAGACCACTGAGGCCGTTGGAGGGTGACTTCGATTCAACCGGTGAGTCAAATGTATTTCTTTCAAACTCAAACGATTTTTTTTCCAACTTTCTGTCATTTAAAAAGTTTTTTACGCTTGTTCACGCGAGAAATTGATCGGTTTTCGGAACGTCATCGGTAACCGACTGTAAAATAGTTTTTTTCACGTTTTTAATGTTTATCTTCAGCGCGTCTAAGATAATAAATCGTGCCGAAAGAATTGATTAAAATAACGTCCGATTTCAAGCGTACCGCGAATTTGGCGCCCTGGACGTTAGAAACGTGAATTCCGAAAATCGTGCCGATGATTTCGATAAAATCGTTTCTTTCACGGTTCTATCATTGGCTTTGCGCTGGATTTCACCGTAGCCAGGCACAGCGATCAATGCAATAAACTTAGTTGCGGCATTCCCACGTTACCCGCTTCTAAAGCATTCACGACAATACCGATATGCGAAGACGTGGAGAGTTCTAGGTGAAGTTCCGTCCGATCCTATCCGATCTCCCAGTCCCTTGTTCCACGTTGGCTCCCTGTGGATACTCCACTACACATATGAGAAGCGTATGTACATCTATTATAATCTCTAATTGTTTAGTAGATCTTAATCCGCACCGTAAAGGCGCACGTTGTAAAGAAAAACGATATGATCAATCTCACATTTCTTTCTTACTGGTGAACCGAAAGTTTAGAGAATTTTAATCATCAGAAATGTAAGTCTGTACATCTCCCACGGACTCGAGTCACAAGTCAGTGACGAACGAAATGGTAAAATCGTTGTAAATATTAAATGCAAAATTGTACATTGTATATAACAGAGAGAAAGCGGGAAATCGCTGTGATTTATATCATGTTAAATTTTTTATATTTTACCTGGCAAAAAGTGATTCCATTGATAAACACTTCTGCACCTCAATCCTTTTTCAAGACTTCATTTGTCCTTGTATTACCGTTCACCGTCCTATGTGTACAGCTTTACATCGTGAATGTTCGTCAATCGTTCTGTTATCCTGTCACACGAACGTTCCTTACTCGAATCCTCGGTTTTTATTTCGGGACTCTTTCGGCCGACGAGATACGACAGAGAAACTGATACCAGGCGATTTCGGCGGGGTTCGCTTTTTTTTTATCGTGCTTCGCTGCGAATGAAACGCTTGAAGGAACGTAGCATATTTGATGATGAAGCAGGGTTTGAATGATAATCGCAGACGAGTCGTTTGATCCCGCGAGAATGACTCCTGCAATTTTATTTGGCGGGAATCATCTGCGGGATCGGAAAGAACAAAGAGCATATTCTCGCGTAGCATATCTGCGTAGCATCGATAATCCTGTCATTGCTGTCACAAATCTGTTTCAAACCCTACGACAAAGAGATTTCGTGATGCCGAATACGAGATCGTCTTGTGCTTGTAACGCGCTTTCGGCACTGAATGGCTTTCGCGTTTTCGGACATCCTCGAAATCCGTGGTGAGTTTCTCTGTCCGATTAAGAGCTAGACACGTATACCGCAGTACGGTAATTGGTACATGGTGTTATATGGTGGTTTAGCGGTGGCGGCGACTGGAGGTTCGGCAATGCATGCTACGTCACCTACGAAGGCCGGTGAGTCTCATACGATCACTTACTCTCGTAACGTACAGTTATTCATTGCCATGAAACTATTCTCAAAATTGCGTCGTGATATCGCGAAAATGTACCGTTATCTTTCGAAATAGTGTTACACTCAGAAAACATGACGTCCTCATTCAAGAAGTAAAAGCAATGGCTGTGAGAAAAATTTTTGGGAGCCGTGTATAAATTGTTTTCTGTAACATATTGAGTCTATCTAAAATTAAAGATGAAAGTTATTAAGTTGAAAAGAATTTAATCCGTGTTACTCCGACTCCGTGTTACGACAATATTTATTATAAATTATCAATCATGTATCATTTATCGCTTTAATTAGAATTTTTAAAACGGACTGTGCAACGTAAATTCTACTTTTTGTGACTCAAGAATGTTGCGCAAGGGATTTGTTATGTAATAGTTATAGCGAAATAATCTTTACGTGTCGCACTGGTCACGAACCTACCTTTAATTAAAGTAATTACAAATACAAATGTATATACGTATTATAATAAATTATGGGATTTAAAAAATTTTTGTGGTTGCACTCGCGCGCGCAAACCACTTTTGTAAAGTGAACCAACCAGAGAAGAATCAACGTTGCACGGTTCTCCGATCATTCGACTTCTCTCTCTCATCCGGCTTCTCTGTTTCTTTCTTTTCGCCTCTCTCTCTCTCTCTCTCTCTCTCTGTCTGTCTTCCTATCCCGCGCCGCTGCACCCGCGACTTCCGCCGTTGAACCCCTGGATGGCCTCGAACGACCTCGAATGACTACGCAGCAGTTAGCCCGCCCGATCCTGCGATCAGCGCGGCGAACGCGGCGGCTTCGGTGCCGATCGCCACCTCCACCCCGGTTAACCTTGCTGCCGGTCCGCTGAGCCCGCCCCCGTTGACCTTAGCCGCCGGTCAAGGTCCGCATCACGAGCATCCGCCCGGGACCGCACCAACGGTCAAGGTCGCAAGCTATCCGGCCGTGCTGAAGGGTAGAAGCGCGGCCAGTCCGCCGAACCCGAACCTGGTACCGTCCGGCAAGGTCCCACCGCCGGTGCCGCCGCGGGGCACGGGCGCCTCGAGGACCGGCAGATCCTCCGAGGATCACCGGGCGGCCGGCACCGCCGCCTCGACGACGTCGTCGGTGTCTTCCTCCAGCCGAGGTGATGAAGCAGCCATAATCACGAGATACCGCTTGCATGACAGTTCGTGCGACCTGCACCACTCGCTCCTACCTGACCATTCCTCCATCTCTACTTTTATCACCACCGCTAAAACTGTGGCCTCTACTATCACTGCTGCTACTTCTACTAAAGCTACCTCCGCGACCTCGAATGCATTGCATGCCCGTACATCGACATCCGACACTTATCGCGTCACGCATCGCGGCCGTTTCGACCGAGAAGCCGAGCGGGTTCGGCAGATGGGCTCGATTCAGCATTGGCGTACCCAAGAACTCGACGAGGACGAGGAAGAGTTTGTCAGCGTGGAGAAGGTTGAGGACGCTTACTTTATTAAGACTAGTTTGCACCCCCTCAGACCAGATAGAGGAATTCGCCGATCCGATCGCTCGGAAAATTCCAATCGAATTACCGAAACTGATAATGGTAAAGTTCCGAAGAGGGACAAAGAGAGGAGAAATGACACCAAGATGGATCATCTAGCGAAGTTTACGTACTTTTTGAATCCAGGCTCTCGAGCTGATCTGATGAATTACAAAATGTCGAGAAAGGACAAGAAACACTCTGAGACGTATTATGAAATGGTAAAGAGGAAGCGAAAGGACCTTGAAACGTCTATTTTAACGATCACAACAATGTCGAACCGTTGTAAGCCAGTGGAAGATGCGAGACCGTATCATACAGGCACATCTCGCGCGGAGGATAAACCTGCTGAAGAATGGGCTAGGCAAAAGATCTTAAAATTTACATCGATCAAAAAAGACAGCATTTTGCTGCAGAAGATTCGAGAAAAATCTAGGAGAAAGAAGCGACTTGCGCCGAAACCGTCGAAGAAACGAACATCTGTCGTGGGAACTTTTAATGGAAATGTATTCGAAAATGAGAAAACTAATACGAAGAGAGAAGGTGAAAAATTGTCTTCGAAAATGAATTCTCTAAGAAATAAGAATGGTAATTATCAGATTCAGGAGAAAAGTATTAAGAATGACACAGATTTTACAAGCGGAAAGAAGCAATCAGCAATCAGATATGATGAAATGAAACAGAATTGTTCTTCTGGCAGAGATAATAGCTGTCTTTATAAAGAGAAGAAAATCTCTAAGAATATAGATGATGAAGGAAATAACAGAGGCGGATTCAAAGAAATCTTTCCAAACAGTTACGGTGCTGAAGATGAATACACGGAAGATACGATAGTCCGCAAAACAAAATTTGATCGACATACTAATAAGAGATTAAACAGATATAAATCTTCGAAACCTGACTTTAAGAGCTGCGATGGAAGTTCTACTTTTCACGAAGAAGGATCTTTGTTCGACGATATTAGGAAGAATGATCTGAAAGATGCGAATCGAGATAAGTTGCTGAACATAACCAAGAGAGAAGAATGTATACCTTCTAGTTTTGACGATATTCGAAATAGGAACAGCGATGTTATAAAATCTTCCGTTTCCAAAAAAGTGAAGACCTTCGAGAAGATTAAGACTAAAGGGAGAGACGAAACGAAGAATGCTCGACGAGAAGATACACATTTGGATTACTTGAATTACGGAAAGGAAATTAGCGCCGTTAAACAATCGTTTACATTGTCGGTCAATGAAATTGGACTAAATCGGGAGAAGAAGGAAGTCGTGTTGAAAGCGGGATTATTAAATATCGGTGCTGAATACGAGAGGCAAAAATTTAAATCGCTTTCGAGCGTCCACTGCGATGATTTATCGTTTAATCGAGAATTTGGAATGCTGAAGCCGAATGTTTCTTTCTTACATACTTATCGAAAGACGCGATCGTTTACATGAAGTTTCTTGGTTAATTTTAGATTATTATACGAAACTTAGTCATCAATATATATAAACAAGAAAGAGAAGGCGATCTAAAAAGATATTTATAACGATGAGAGTTTTGATATCATCGAGTTGATACGATTTTCAATTGCGTAAACGATAGTATCAGATCTTTTTCCAATCTCTTAAATGCAATCTTGCAATCTTATAAAAAAGAATCGCAGCTTCCAGCCTTTTAAGGAAGAAGTGAAGAACTACAGCTTTCATGTTTCTCGGCTGAATGCTTATCACATAAAATGTTTTTTGACCTCTTTCTATTATTGCTGCATGACAAGCACGCGTTTTTTATAATTGTTATTTTCTGCGCATCATCACCCGATCTCATATCACAGATCGTGATAACAGTATTTTCGGTAATCACTAAAATTATCGTAAAATGATATGTTTACTGTTAAATGTGCGATTGTCATTATTAATAGACCGGAGAGAATAATCTGTGTTGAACTAATATCTTTCTGATGATCTTTCCCACATCTGCGACGTTTCAATGTCAGTCGATTTAAGACATCGACGAGGTATATCGTTTATGTATAGCAAAAATCGTTCTCGAGTTTTCCCTGCTTATTGTGTAAAGTTATCGATCGTTACGTTGTGTAATTGATGTCCCTGTTAGCTTAAGTAGCGTTCGAGTCTTATTATAGCAACTGCATGCATAGAATTTCATTGCCCTCAGCGAGAGCAAAACCGAGTGAATAAACGCAACGTTTCACGTGAAATGAAATTTTGCTTGTATCGTGTTATTATTTTCTGAACAATCTCTCTTTTGTTGCTAATTTACTTTGTGTAATCCGATATCCGTCCACTTAATCAATTGCGTTTATTTATCTCCTAGTCGCGTACTGTGCTACATTAATCGTATATCGAGTCAATCTGAAGCTTTGTTAATGAATTAGTAGTTATTATCTCGCAACACAAGAGGATATTCATACGAATACGTTAATGGCATAGCAATCGTATCGTATAAAACTGAACCTATCGTACATATTTTAACTAAATAATTTATTTGCTGTTGCACTTACGTAGACATATATTAGTGAATAATATAATACTCGTTCAAAGTTGCTTCTATCAATTTTGAATATAGATGCTTTATTGACATTTCCAGCATTTTTAAAAATGCAATAATTTTAGTAAATAATAAAATATTATCGCGGCATAAAATTTGGTTTGCCAAATTATCGCTAGCTTGCCTTCTTAAAAATGTTGGAAATGTAATTTTGCTCTGCGTAGTTTTCTCGCTGCGTACACAATCGCGCTTGGAAACTTCACATAATTATCTTCCTTCTTATATAAATATCAATAATTGTTTATTCTAAGCTTTATTAACCATGTATGTACATATAGACGGACAGAAAAATTGATTTTTTACAGAATTAGAAGAGATATATATCATTATTGTAATAATATAAATTATTTTAATACAATTAAAATATATTTTAAATGTACACGTTAAAAATTCCGCGTGCAGTACAATTAGATTCACATATAAAATAGTTTAGAGCTTTTGTTGATTTAATTTTTGAATCTGCGCAAATATACAAAATCAACAAGTGATAGATATTAAACTTTAAATCATCTTGTATCGATAAAATCGCGAATTTTTTTACAATGATAATCAAGCTATCAATAAATTAATGTATGCAACTTGATACAATGGTAAATACCGTCTTATAAGAAACGTTTCCAAATTTTTTAACTCTATATCCAAATTTCAAAAAGTCTTTGATAAAAACTATATTTATTCTAGAATACTATACTGTCACTATTTGAGAAGTAAATCGTAATTTTCTGTAAACACATGTGTCGTCTTCGTAACATCATATATGAGTGTGATTATTAGTGTAAACGAATCTCTCTCATCCATCCTCTGCCTACTATTTACCCCTAGCCTTCGATGCCCGTGGTATTAATTAGGGCTAATTGTAGCGCGCTTTTTGTAGGTGGCACCCTTCCTTCCACCTGCTCCACCCCGCCCCCGCCCTTTGACGATGCAGTCCGCTCGAACGACCAAACCCTGGCTTCCGGTGGTCACCTTCAGCAAGGCGGCGCGACCACCATCCTCGCGAGCAGTCTCTCCTCTGCTCATTCCAAACAAAATAAGGTTGTTCATCACGTTACCCTCACCAAGACGTATCACGACACTGTAAGGTGAGTACATTTTTTTGCTAATCGTTAATCATTGACAATTTTAGAGTAACTCAATCCTCAACCAGTAACAAAATCAACAGAAGAATATTTATCATTATTTTGTATATTTACATTGACACAAGAAAATTCGCCAATAAAAATGTAGAATAATAATTGCGAAATTTTTAGTAAACCATACAGCTTTTAGAAATAGATGTTACTGTTTGACCAGATATGCAATTGATAAGACACGTACACAGAGAGATACGTCCTTACACCGCTTGAACATTTTTTTCGATGTTACATATATTTAGCTTGAGATATATTTTACGCTTGTCTTCGCACTTCGCACGCATCTAAACGAAAACATTCTTTTCTTTGCTTTATCACGGCAACCTCAGGAAAAGGAGAATGTTAGTATTTGATTTTAATTTAATCACACATGATTACTCGATCCCTTCAGTTTGTCGGCGTTAAACGTCATTCGAACGAATTTATTCTCAGCATATCGGACGTGCATTTGGAGAGTAGCGGTAGCGGCAGCGGCAGCGGCGGCAGGGAAACCAGGTCGTCGCTGAGCGTCGAGAGCGGCGGCAGCAGTAGCCGAGGTGGCGGCGGTCTCACGTGGACCCCACCGGCCGGAAGTGCCGAGGGCTCGACGCCCACGTGGACCGAGGGCACGCCGTCCTTCACCGAGAGCTCCAGCAGCGGCGACATAGGTAAGTTGCTCTACGCGCTCAACATCTACTATGGCTCCTGAAGGATACTGCCACGAGGACTTCTCGGCTTCTCCTGCTGATATACCTCCCCCTCTCTTCTATCTCCTCTGAACGCTCCAACGAGGAGACGCCGTGCGAAAACAAACGTAGACGTTATAGACCGTGATTCTCGCCGTTGATCGTTGTTTAATTGCCGAGTAACATAGATCTTCTAGATTTTTTAAATTATTTTCTAGATTGTTACCTTCTTACGAGGAGAATATATATTAGAAAGTCGACTCATTATACTTTTCCAGAACTATAGCCAGGCTGATTCTATAAATTCCAAGCTTTTTTATGAGTATTTTATATTTTTGTTTGATATAAATCGAATGATGTAACAGAGTTAGTAATATCGACAATCGAATTAATAATATCGACAATCATGTTGGCGATAGGTTTTTGTATCTCATTAATTGTTAACATCGTAGAACTGTTGAACCTTGAATAGTTTGTATATTGAATATTCAGTTTATAAAAAACTTTAATCTTTCTAACATTAAACATTATTCTTCAAATATATTGTGTACACGTACATTTTTTCATCAATTTTCAAACTATATATCACAGGCAATTATTAGATTATTATATTCCACAAAATGTCAATTCGGCAAAAAATTTTTTAATGTAAAAAGAATTTTATCTTTGTTGATTTTTTATTATGATCTTTATTTATTGTTATAACCTTTTTTGAGAGCAAAGAAGATTTTTTTTTAATTAAAAATTTATGATTTAATTGTCTTGAAATATTACGCATACAAAATGTATGAATGTGAATTAAAAGGTAAACGTGTATAACTTTAATGTTATTATAACTAATGTTATTGTTGTGTGTATAGTCGATTGTGCTATTAATCAAATGACATGTGACAAAACTATTTTCAATCTAAGAATCGATTTTGATTCTAAGCAGAAACCGTTTCAGATATTATTTAGATATCGTTTACGGCAATTGCCGTGAAAACGAGCACACATACAATTCGATGCATTTTGCGCGAAATTGTAATTCTCCGGTAGTCGCTTTGCATATCCTATTTCGTGCACCAGTTATGACAGAATTAATTATATCGAAGCGCGGAGTCGAATAGAACAGCTATAATCAATCAACATTGTTCTGTCAAGCCCTGTCTAGCTAATTTAAATGAAGCTTTGTTAAAATACCTGAAAGTTATGAAAGGGACAATAAAGGAAAACGCGAAACTTCACTCTTTGATTATTCTTCATCGAATCCTGTCTATATGTTGATTTTATTTTTCTATTTTTATCTGTATACGTTTTCTGAGTTTTAAGAATTGTTTAAGACCGCTGGCCGATAAGTTTCGACCTTTGTCTATATTTTTTTATCTTTCTCTATTGTTGGCTCACGCAAGTAACTAAATTACACGCTTCTTCTCATGCGTAAACAACACAATTTCTCGAATGCACAAGGTTTCATGTTTCGCTCAAAGATTAGAAAAACCTGGAGAAAGAGGCACAGACTTGAATCACTTTCCGTTTAAAATTATTTATACAAAACATTTATACAGATGCTATACGCATATGCTGTCGTGTAACATTTCGCACTGCGATAAATATATATCTGAAGATTTCTTAATCTCTCACAATTGCGACCGCTTTTTTCCGAATATAGAGCTAATTTGGAGATCGCACTATCGCTCGGGAATACCTCTTACCTTCCGTTAATGGTAATCTGCGAGGACCAACGATTTACTTTTTGCACGATGACGATTAACGATAATTTTAGGTTGCCCGACGACGCCAATCAAGGGTAATCAACGTCAGGATGACGGTGGAAGGATCGCGGCCACTGTGGAGGAGGCCCTAGCGAGTCTCACGACTGAGATGGTAAGTCTCAATTCATTTCATTGACCGATCGGACACAAGAAATTACAGCTGAAGCAATGGAGAATCATGCTAACATCATATAAAATTATATATGCATCCTTTTACATTTAAATATACATTCATAAAACCAACAACGCGGATTACGAAATTGAGTCTTTGAATAAAAATATTAATTTTGAAAGAATATCCCTTTTTAAATTTTTACTTACAAGGCAATTTTATTTAATTTATAATTTTATTACCAGTGATAGTACATGCGTCTTTTATTTCGTTGTTATAATAATAATGATATCATGATTGTCCATTGCCGCCGTTGTATATTTCCATGAACAGACGGTTTATACGAGATGGTAAGTTTGTTATCGTCAGTGGTTGATTGATCAAATTATTTAAACGTGTTCCCCCCCGAGTGACCCGAAGATTACTGTAACTATTAAATATAGACGGTGACGTGTCACATAAAAGCCTATCGAACGGTAATTACGTCGTCTTCAAGCCTCCTTTAACGCTCCCTCAAGTATTGCAGGATTTTCCAGGATGAATCGATTAATCACAATCCGCATGGAGCGTCCTAAGCCGCGAATTTCACTTCTAAAAATGAGAATAGAAACACGCGTTCGAAAACGACTGTCGATATTATCCAAGATGTTTCACGCGGAGATTGCTCGCGTGACAAACGCGTCGACGATGCGTATTCTCTCTTACGCCGTGCCGCGCGTTTTTATTGAAAAGTAAACAAACGCTTTATCAGGACTGACGAAACGCAAAAATATGCGCGTGAAGCGTACACGTCAGCATGATTTACGTTGCGCGACACGCGTTTTCGCTTCCCGAAGAATCACGTCGAATATATTGGTTTAAATGTTAAATACAATTCTGACGTAACTTTATTTTAAATAACAGGAGAATATTATAGATTCGCTTGGAGATCGCGAAGGAAGCGAAGTATCTCGCATAATCGTCTAGCTTCGTCGGTAGCCAGAATAGTTCAAAAGTATTCATCAATTCTGAGAGAAAGAGAGGAAAGACGGCCACGAGCTGATGCTCTCCTTTACTTTTGAGAACACAGATCTGTCTCAGCTCTCATTAAATTCATTCACTGACAGAAACGAACGGCCGCTTTGGAACGCTCCATGCGAGAGAGTCAGACTGTCTGAACGCTTTGTCTATTTTCCTGAATCAGGAGATACTGCAGCGCGAGTGAATGCACGACTCTCGTCCTTCTCCAATAATCTTCGTCACCTCGTGCGCAACGTGCTCTGTGGGTGATCTGCACCGCCGTAGCGACAAATCTTCGAGAAAATGAGAGAGAGAGAGAGAGAGAGAAAAAAAGAGAGAATGAGCGTGTGAATGCGGGTAGCGAAGTACGATTTAACCCTTGATTGGTCGCGTTGGAGTAGGTTGCTTACTATGCCCGGTGTAATTCAGGCTTTTAATCGCGTTTAATTTTCGCTACTGCTGGTGTCGGTGGTATCGGTGTTGGTATTTGAATTTTTTCTCGCCGGACATGTAGCACCTTATTCGTTAGACATCTGATCTTTTATTCTCTTCGCGTCCCACCCTCTTCTGTCATCGCTGTCTCTATCGGATTTTTCTACTCCTCTTAATTCTCCTCGTTTTAACTTCCCGCTTGTTAGTTATTCATACTTGCACTCTCTACCTTAAATCATTCTTTACCTTGAGCTAAGAGTGGCTCGTAAAACAATTTGCAAATTAGAATTTATGTAAGAATACTCACCTTTTTTATTTTAATCTTAAAAGCCACTTGATCGCAAGACTACTTAAGGGTTAAAAATGGAAGATGATACGAATAGCTTCATCGAGGATCGAGGCGAATATATGATCTGTTTTTGGATCGAGATTGCAAGGACCATTCCATTTTGATGGCGCGTTCATGTTTCATTCACTCTATGAAACGTTTCGTTACGAAACGTCTGTACTTAACGCGATTTTTCATTAACGTGCGTTTGGTAGAGACATTCGTCTCGATCCGCGACTTCTAGCATTAATTTATCGACATGTATATCTGTATACATAAACATATGGGCGATTATCTCGAGTGTGCTTCTCGCGCTATATGATAAGGGAGCACTTTCGATATCCTTATATGGGCATCCTTAAATCTTCCTGGGTATAGGAGAGTCAATATCATTATGGTTACGTATTTAACAAGAACGTGATACTCGTCGGCCTACAGTACTCGATAAAGCTTTTGACATTGTTCCAAATCAATTTAAGAAGTGAACGAAATGCCATTTTTCCAATGCGAAAATTTTCACAGAGAGGGATGTCATTTTCTTATTTTCAAAAAGGACTGAAAATGGCGTTTTCAATTCTTTTGACGTTGTATCGACCTATTAAAATTCTTAATATATGTCTATTTTATTCTGTTCCTTTATTCATCAACAAAATTTCAAAAATTGGCTTAATAAGACACAGCGGGCAATACACGTCTTCAAAGACATTTCATGTAGATTTAAAATATAAATAAATATAATTATAATTTTCTCTCGTGTATTTTTGTATACCTTTTTTTTTAATTTTTACAAAAATCAACGTCAGAAAGATAAAATATTTTTATAATCTTTCAAAGCTGAAAGCTTATTTTGAAACATAGGAAAATAAGAAGGCAATAGAACACACATAAATGTAAATGCGTCGAAAAAGAATTTTAGAGATAATCACGAGAATTGTGTCAAGGATTGTGTAGCGAGTTGGCGACATCCCTTCTTAAGGGATGAGGCGCTGTCAAAATGGCATTTCGTCTACTTCCGGACGTTTTCAAGCGTTCCCACTGTCCATAATTCTTTTTCCTAATCGAGTCGTCGCCGTCGACTAAACTAATACCGTAGGTTCCACTAACACGCCGAGGGGCCGTGCGAACATGGGACAGGTGTTGTCGACGTGTAATTGACGCACGGCGAACGGGGGAGCTTTGTAAATAAAGTGTGCTTGCGCATAGTTCGGCTAGCAGAAAGCCCGCGCGATTTTTCGTTTTATTGCGAGGTATATAGTTAGTGTTATGTATCTATATGTGTCTCACGTTCTGTCTGTCTTTGTATGTACCTAATACATACATATACGCGCGCTCAATAAACCGTGTGCGTGTATTACCGTGTATACATATTATAAATACAACGTGCTTGTGTATACTCGCAAAGGTAACACGTATCGAGTTGTTCCCTCCTGAATTCTGATGAGCCTCGGATCGTGCTAAAAACAGCCTGAGAAAACAAGAGACATATTTTTTATATGTCAAATCTTCGCCGCGGGTATGATGTTATACCCTTGTAATATACTCGGCGTATTTCAACGGTCGTATCGACCGCAACATATCAGAGGATGATTCAAACGAAATAATATTTAATATTTTGCAAAACATCATCCCTTCTCTGTTTTCTCTTTCTCAAAAGCGCCTAAAGTCAAATTTATTCCCACGTAACAGTTTTTTAAATTTTTCATAACACGATAATGTTGCCGAAACTTTTTTTCGACGTATAGATAAAATTATATGTTTATCTGATAAACATCAAAGTTGTGGATAGAAATTAACAAAATGTGTACATTTTGAAATTAAAAAAATGTAAAAGTAAATTAAAGACGATAATAAACGATATCTTCTGATGAGGGAGAGAAGGATCGAGAGAAAGATACATATTCTATTTAACAGAAGTGTCGAATACTGTAGAGACATAGCGAATTCGCAGTAGAAGATAGATCAAATCTGCAATAAAGATAGACTTACTTGAAAATTTTCCGCAACGTATCCGACGTTCATCAGAATCGGAATATACGAAAAAGAAAATGTTGCCTCTTGCCGATGCTGTATAATATAAAATAATATGACGCAATGCGATTTTGGCGAGGAAAGAAAGAAGGACTTATAGTGCCGTGTACGTACAATACTTCGTAGTAGCAGAGCATTCAGATATGTAATCGCGTTGCTATAATAGTACGTGAGATTTATCGCGAACGTTTTGAAGACGCCAGAATGTTGTTCAATTATAACGTATTATCATTATAAAACGCTTCTGAACATGTCGGTGTAACACATTTATGATTGGCGGTAAAATCTCACCGCATCTCGGTAACGGATCTTTAAAAGTATCATCTCGAGACATCGTTTTATTAACGTATCCTACCTTTTATTTCGTACATCGGCACATTCCGTCACGTGTTTCCACGATGTATTATCCAATTGAAGAAGCATTCAACCGGATTTTTGCCGAGGCACCTCGAGACGCATTCCCGCAATGCGAGAGAAATTTTCATTTGTGTCTTTTAGCAGAACGCGTACAACGACGAATGAGAGTATTAGTGTTGCAGATATTTTTATGGTCTAGCTCGACTGCACCTTACCGAGCGAAGTCGAGAATCGACGGAGAATCCACGAGAGTTATTAAAGTTTTACCGTGGATGCAGATTTTACTGCCGAGATAGCTTCATGACACACAGGTAGCTTTGTTAAATCAATACCCCTTCGCGGGTATTGCTAATAATTGTTAGGATCCCGATCCCCGCGCGAACGTACCACTAACAGCGTTGGCAATTTCGAAAGTGTGATATTTTTTTAACATATCCTCGGGAATTTAAATATTGGAATCCGGATTGACGTTGGCGCAAAGTATATAATTCTTATTAAATCGCGCGGAAAATTCAGGGAGGATGAGAATCATCGTAATAGTATGCAATGCGTGCGCGAAAAAGGTTGCTGTGTCGCTTATGAAACTGAGATATTGTCCTAACATAATGTATGTCCATATTTTCTCTCTTTTGTAAAAAAAAATTGATAGAGGAAATTGTTTTCCGCTTTAAAGTTTTTCATTTTAATGTGATTTTCAGCGATTGCTCAAGTATATCGTGATGTGTGTGCACGTTCCTTCTCGATTAATATAAATCTTTCCCGCTTTCAAAGCGCCCTGTGTTGGACGCAGATGTTTCTCTGTGTGTTTCGTGTGTGCTTACACAAAACTGACATTGATGCCGCTCGTGAAATAACATCTGTAACTTTTCAACCATATTATTCAAAACAGATCAATGCTTTGTCAAGTTACAGGTTTAGCAGTCTCTTTGTTATTATTACCCGTAATTGTCCAAGCCTACCCAATTGTGCCCAGTTAACACGCCATATATGCATGATATTGCGTTACATTCCTCTTATACCTTCCGATTCAGTCTTCTGTTACATTCGTATTATACGTTATGGGCCGTTCCTCATAATTTACGACAATAATAAAAGTGTTTGAAAGTTTATGCCCACTTAATTTTTATTTCCATAGCAAGATTATGATATATCAATATTTTTGCCGTTATTGGCGACTCATGGTTATGGCTCGTCTCCTAATTGACCCCCCAATGCACACTTATACAATTACCACTTTTTGCGATTTTACGTGCTTTATATATCAAGCAGATACAATCACAAAAGTAGTAATGTGTGTATCTCAAACTGTACTATATGTAAATCTTAGTTTTTTTTTATGATTCCAACAGAAATCACTCCTAATAATGATCGAAGATATTATCTCTACATGTTATTTTTAATACGATTTAATTGCATTTTATTGCATAAAATTGCATAAAGTTTTTGAAAACTTATTTGAGAACTCGAGAACTGTTATACATGTGGGCAGACAATAGTGATACAGCTGTATCTTTCTGTGTTCGAATCATTCAGAGACGAACCAGCGAAGGCGGGCAGCATCAATTGGAGCAAAGCACAACCTTTTCGTTATATCGTCATATCAGGACGAGCTTGAAGCGCGGTAGCGTGAACCACGTCGCGATCATGAGGAACATGCAAAGGGCATTAAACATTCGTCGGGCACCATGACGCACGCAGAGTCCATCAGAATAAATTTAAATTGTTTCTTTGCAACCGTCTGAAATTTTGCGAAACTGATGACGCTACAGCATATAAAATGCACATAATCGAGCAAGTCTTTTTAAAACTTTGGATCTGAAATATGGTCGGATTATGCCAAATCACATGACGTTGAAAATGAATTATCGATAATTTTATCATAAAGCTGATTAGATGAAAACAATTCTAAATGCAAAACGCAATATCGATTGATAAGAACATTAACTGAATATTTCAATAATGTCTTTAATAATGTGATATAAAGATGAAATATTTTGAACAATTATGTACGAGGAATTTACAATTATGTTTGTTTTAATTGCTCTTTTGTAAATAAGTATAATAACAATAATACAATTAATGCATTTCAATGAAGCAAAATTCAAGAAACAAATTAAAGATCTATATATTTAAGATGTTTGTATATTCTGTGGTTGGTGATTTAATATTAACGTACTTTGTAAATTTAATAACAATAATAATGTAAAATTAATGAACGAAATACTCAGCTTAAAAAAAAAGTTATGGCTAACATTGCACGCATGTATAGTTCGCATAATCCTGTGCAATACGTAATAATGCGCGCTGTAATTATATGTATTTTATCGGTGAAGGAACGATAATCTCGCTGAGAATCAAAATCAAATAGAAATTTATGTTGCAGACATGCATGATGTTTTTAACTGTGCAAATGTGCCAAGAATTTGACAAAAGGCAAACGATTCGATGTAGACGCGTGTCTGTTCATGATCTATTAATCCACGCGCTCTCTTCCATTTCTGCATTTGTTCGTTATGTTGTATCGTTTCAGTAAGATACTTTTTAGTATTATCTTGAATTATGTCACAAAGCAGTAATACATTTAATTAACTTATTAACATATTAATGAAATTTAATCAAGCATTAAGTACTACCACTTTCCTCAATCACTTTCCTATAATATAACTCTATAGAGATGCTTGAACTTAATTCGTGGTAGTATTTAATGATTATTGATAAGATTTCTTTTTATAATTTAATTTAATTTAATTCTATGTTTCTACACACAATTGGTTAATATTACTCCTTCCGACTAAATTACTTACAAAAAGTAGCCAATTGGTTTTCATCACGAAACTCACGAAACTCTTGTTGTCGAACGAAAATAATGTATTATTCTGTATAATAATTTATTATGTCTGTGGGTTTCTAATGTCTACAAAATGTCGTAGGAACTGTAGTTCCTTGTATAAGTTTCTTGTATTTTCTACTATTTTTTTTATTATTTACCCCGGGATACCAGTTCGCATTGCGAACTAAAATCATTCGTTAGATATCCAGATAAAGTTATGTACACAGCATGTATTATACTTGGAGAATTTGAGATGAAAGGTTGGGTTGAGAAACGTGCGTACGGCAATCGATAGCGATGGACTAGCTGTACAGACTTTAAAGCTTGACACCTCATGCATTAGATTTAAACGAGATATTCGATGCTTTTCCCTCTTAATTGTTAAATAATCTTCGACGTCAATGTTGTTAGAAGGAGTATATTGTCGACCGAATTCACGACGCCTAGTCCATTTCTATCTCTGTGCCCGGTATTACTACTTAATAATAATTAGTTAATTTCAGTAACAGAGCGATCGTTCAATTGTGTTGTCACGAATTGAATTGTCACTTGATCGAGATGTTCGGCAATATATAAATATACGTATATATTATTACTGATATTATTTAAATAAAGTAATTATTATTATTCTTATGATTGCTGCTGTTATCGTCGTCGAATAATTTACAATATTGGCCCTTCGCACATCGTTATATTCATTACCGATGTTCTTTCTTTGCTAAGAAATCGCATGTTTTTCGACATTAAACCATTGCAAAAACATTGCATTATCAACAAAAATAACTCTCTCTGCTAGATACGCAGAAGCCTAAACTGTTGAAACATTTTATCGTTATGAAATATTAAATCGATCGTCTTAAAAGAATTACTATCTGTAGTATTTTTATGATCCTCCCTCGGCCCACGCTTTATTTTTGTTTTATTTTATCGAGAGTTTCTTATCCTGGTTTCTTTATTTGCTCCCTTTCAGACTCACCTGTAGACAAGCGAACACGGGGATAATTGTTAAAAAAGTGAAAAAAGAGCGAGACAGAAATGATTACGGAACATGACTGGCCTGACGGGCAGTTGGTGCATTTAGAAATCTCTGGAATTAGTGTGAAAAAGGCATTAGGATTATTAATGTAAGTCCAAATATATAGTAATAAGCAAGTGTACTCAGAACTGTATGGGATGTCGCCCGATGTATCCCTTTATACCGAGAGAAAAATTAGTGCAATTAGATTCCATTTAGAATTTTTACAAGACAGTTAGAAGGTACGAAATTAAAATGAAAAACAAATCATATTTTTTAAACTTGGGTAATGATGAATCATTGTAGATTATTTGCTGGAGAAGAAATATTTTCCTCTCGGTGTCTTCTGTTATATTTGTTGTACGTGAAAACCCCGAGAAGACCTTCATTTATTCGAAACTGTCGATTTTTATATTAATCGTTTAGTGGAATTATATCATAGATTATGAATGAATGAACATAGTAGAAATCTTAGATTTTTCAAAAATGGTCCAGAAGATGTTTCTGGAAATATGTGTATATCACACATAATTTCATAATAATGCATAAAAATTAAGGCAATTACATTTGTTCATAATAATTCTCTGGATTTTTCTGGGAACCGGTCGACTGGAAAAAATCGTAAACACGTTTTTCGAGTCGATCGCCTCGGTCTGCTTTCGGCAACGAGTACGCTACTTTTAAGTTATTTATTATTTTTTTTGCTACCGTGCGCTGCCTTACATATCTATTTAAGGAATTCTTATGTGGCTAAGTCGAGTACACGCAACGAGCATCACTTCCGGAAGTCTATTCATGAAGACTGCTTTCACATTTTTATTCAACCTTAGAGAGTAGATCCTCTAACGAACCTTCCACCCAAAAATCTCTCTTTTAGATCTTTTACACTTTTCGAGTACAATTGTGTGCATAAACTGTCGAGGTCAGCGGTGTTTTACTTATACGCAGATCGATTTTATCAGGGCACGGATTTTATGATTGCTGAAGATAGTCGTGTCATTCGATAGCGTGCGCATTTAGATACATTTAGACGTGATTAACACGTCTGGTGTATAAATGCGCGTTTTCCGGAAGCTATTTATCCGCGAAACGTGGACGAACCGAGATCGTGAGTGCCGAGATACAAATTGCACTGAAAGATATTAGCGGTAACCAGCAATTACCTCAATAGATCCTGGCATAGATATTTTAATGCGAAACTTGCCTCAATTGCCCACGAGTTAATTGTCATAACAGGCACAAGTTTCCGTTGCGTTTATCTGCCAATGAAACTAACGAATTCGCCGCGATAATCGCGTTATCATTCCACATGTGTAAATATGCTTTCTCGGAAGACACATTCTCGCATAAATCTGAGCAGCTTCGACCTTACCTAAATCATTTGCAATTTAGCGAAGTGTCGTATACGCTAATCTAGTATTAATAACAACATTCTCGAAAGAGATCAATTTGGAAAACATTCCTTTTTCGCACTTACGATCTCGCACGTTCCGATTTTCCAATTCGGGTTTTCGTCGGAACCGAATACGGTTCTTTCGTGTTTCTTGTACAGTATTAAAAATAGATGTTTTTTTTTTCGAGGAACAAGAAGCGACCGTGCGAATGTAATGTAATTCAGGACAGCGGCAGCAATAAATCTCCAAAAATAATTTGGAGATAGTTTGAATAAATAGATTTGAATTATAGGAAAAAGAGATGAACTCGCTTAAGGCATAAGCATAATGCAATAATCGAGAGAAATAAACGGAGAACGGTTATTGACTTCTTAATAGCGTCATGCTGATCTTTCTATGATTTTCCTTCGCCTCTGATTTACTGTTAATTATATTTGAAATACTCTAATATAATGAGTTAAAGACTAGGAAGACAATCATGAAATCGCAAACAAGTAAACTAATTCGACACATGACAAAGAATATACTATTGTACATTATATTAATATTAATATTAAATATTTATATATATTTATTAAAATAATACATAAATTATAAATTATATCGTGAAGCCTTCTTCACAAATGGAATAAAAATTAGAAAGTTATTTCAAGAATTCAATGCTGATGCCTTAATTGTTCAATTAGCAGCATGACAGGCGAGTGTAAAATATGTAGAAGTTAATAATTGTGCGCATTATATATATAGCGAATTTAATAGTAATAAATAATAGTAAAATATTAATAAAAAATTAGATAATAGGGGATATCAAAGAATCTCATTACGATTTCACATATCGTTAAAATGTAATCTCTGCGATATGGGTGATATTATATTGTGAGGACTCGGCACGCTTGAAGTCGCGTTCAAGTGTCGCGTTCGACGTTCGTTCTGTACATATTCACAGAAAGATATTATTTGGAGATATGAAAAATATGTATTTATATATGTACATTACATATAAATGGCGCACTTACTCAGACGTAGATATATCAGGCAGGATATTCGGCGACACTAGCGTACTTTGTGAACAGAACAATATTCCTCATCGAAAAATGGAATGATCTTTCTTGACGAAAGCGTCGATGTGTCAATCCTTTTAGTCGTAAGCGAGTTAAGAAAACGAAAGATCTGCGGCGATTTTGATTTCCGATAAAGTATCATTCGATTCATCACAGACATGCTTATTATCGAGCACTCTTTACACGCCACGCAATCGCGCGCGGTGTCTTGCATTTTATTTCTTTTTTTTTTTCTTTTGCGACATCATCGCGATGTCTCGATACCTCATTAGGCGGATACGTTGGTCCAGCCTGTATTGATGTACGATAATGAAGAATAAATTATTGTTGCGTCCTATTTATTTATAACGGAATTGATTTCACATGTTCTCCGTTCGATCTTGGTGATCGAAGAATCCCGAATCTGTCCCGTCACAAAATGCTGTTATATTATAAATTTATATAGCGTTATTTATGAACATTTCTAATCCTACGCTATTTATTTTTATTGTATCTACCGATGGATATCCTCAGCCGCAGATTACTCTCGAAAGATTGTAACGTGAAAATGTCACTATCCGGAAAAGAAGGTGAGTATGTGAAGTGACACGTTAAAACGATCAAACGCATGAACACAAAAATTTATGTCATGCAACTCACGTTCTAACGCACCGGCACAACTTGCTTCTTAAAATCTATGTCTATTCAAAAGATAATAGTGCAATTAATAATCTACGTCATTAAATATTCCGTGTAAAGCCGACAAATTTCAATTTTCATCGCGGGTCATTATTGCTATTATCTCAATTAGAATAATCCTATGTAACGACGTCGAAGAAGAAGCTGTCGGCGAAATTGACAAAGCACGACGAAGCAGGGGCTAACGAGACGGTGACTCAACTTACCCTATAAAGACTTCGCGTCGATGAGGTCGAATTAGGCCTCTATCTTGCTGGCTGGCTGGCTGCAACATATTCTGCATACGGTAAGTGTTATTTTGCAATATACGTACGCTAATCCATAAACAAATCTCGATGAGGCTGTTGATTTGCAAGAGGTCAATCACGCTCGAGGTATTTAAAACATTTGTACCGAGTGGCTTACCTTTCGCTCGAGATATTTCAGATAACTGCTTATGTTATTTATGCAGCGCTCAGTCAAACGTATCTTCGGAAATTCTGAAAGACCCACTTCTCGAGTTTCACACGTGGATATTAAGCGATGCATCTGGGAAGTGACTAATTAGTTTTGTCCAGGAATAATTCTCCAATTAGAATCAGTAATTATCAGAATTGTAACAGGTAAGCGGTTTTTTTCTGTGCCAAGCGAGACGACGATCGCGTTTTCCTAATTTGTAACGGACCGTAATCGCGTACTTTCTCAAACTGCTCGCGCTAGTTTCGCCTTATAATCTAGCGATACACAGTGGCTACAAAACGACAAGCTCCAAAAACGTTTTAAAACTCGAAGAGTTATGTAAGAAGATATAAATAGACTGATTCTTTGACAAGGAAGCAATAAATTCGGCGTAACAAATTTGTGACTAACGGTTTGGAACGCTTTTCCATCGTATTTATTTTAAATAAAGGATAAAGAATTTACGAAGCTATGTACGATCGCTTAAATAGATAGCAAAAACGAGAAAAGAGATATCGCTTGGTGCTACCTACCTACTTTTAAGTGAAAGACGCCTATAGCTGTGAAAGTTTAAATATAGTTTATATATTAAAATAATGTGTCGATGCACCGCGTTTAGGTCGCCTCGACGAGCGCGACAGGCGGACGCCTGCACGCGTCGTATTTATCGACCATCTCGGACGAGATCGGTGTTTAAAAAGCGTATATACTCGGGCGAGCATACTCGAGCAAGTGCTCTCGGAGAGACCCGGCCGTATATAAGTCAAGGCTGCCGAGGGACCCTTACCTACTTCTTCCTTATATGGTACTGAAACGGACCGATGACTGTAACTGATGAGATATAACGGCCGATCTCTTACGCAAAGCGCGCGTAACGATTTTTCCACCAGAAATTCGTCCAAATTTCACGTGGACATTTGATTTATTGACGCGCGACCTCCGTTACGCAATTCTGTCGATTATCGAGAAAAAATTATCCCGATAAGGCAACGTCTTGAGTCTTGACGCTTTTACAACGCTCGATTTCGAGAGGAATCGAACTGGCGATTGGCCCTAGGTAGATCGAATTATCGTTACTTATGAGTTTATTTCGAGCTGAGAGGAAAAACTGAGAGCGCCATCCGAGTCATAACGGACCGACCGTGACACGAGTTGATCTCTCAAGGAGATCGGGTGAGGTGGCTATACGTTGACCCCAATGCCAAAATTATCAGCGCGGTTGATTCCTAGCGCTTTTTTATTGAAAACGGACAGGTTGTTGTTTTTCGACGGTCCCACGTCAACCTTCTCTCTCGTTATTGTACTCTCACTCCGTTTATAGACAAATCCCGGAACGATCGTTTCAAATGTCACTCTCGTGGCCGCTACAATCTTCCTCAAACGAGTGACTCACAAGATAATCGATCGCGCCTGACAATTGAAACCAGCAAATCAAGATAATAATAATAGTGATGTGTTAACAAAGATATGTTAAAGTGTATTAATAAAAAAGTGGAAAAGTCTATTCATTATTATCTCATGTTTGTCCTGTTACTTTTTTGCCAGATGTTATGAGTTAAATCCAGTGCGAGCGCGAATATAAATAAAGAACCTAATTCTTCAATTAGGTTTATCCGGACTTTGTCTCAGTAAAAACTCACGATATGTGATAACGTTTTATAAATCTCTTATTTAAAGATTGATTCCAAAGTTGTCACAGAATATACAGATGCAAGTCTTGGTGTACTGTTAAAAAGAGTCACGGTCGGTCTCGCTCCGCGTGCATGTAAGTACTTGGCGCGAGACACTACCGTGTCTCTTGATTCGTAGCGTCAAATCAAACTCATGTTGAGTCATACTTAACCATTTTTATAGGTCACCACGACTCCTACTCAAAATGTTGTTAATTTAACTAAACCAATGGAGTTAAAATAATACTGTTTTGTGTTCAAATGATAATTGCGACATACACATGGTAGTTAAAAGTAACAAAAAGTTATTCAACTCAAGGTATTGATTTAAATTTCATCCTTTAATATTTAACAGGGTACCATTAAAAAAATACGGTACTTTTTTATACGATTCGCTGAAAGAGATACGCGTTTCTTACGCTGGTCTATTTTTCAGCGGATTTGTCGGAATCGTCGAAGAACGGTTTCTTTGCAAGCGCACAGGCCTCACTTCGGAGATCGCGATGTGACTTTGACTTTGCTCAAGTTTCGAACCGAGCGACGCCCAGAGCTTGAAGGCTTTTTTTTCTCTCGCCCCGTTTTTCGCGACGGCACGAGGTCCTCCCCCGTCGTCAGCCGTCGTCGAAATAGAGCGTTCAGCACGCACGTAGGTACACGTCCGTCGTTCGCGTGTCCGCGATCTAAAGATAATCCGCGGGCGGCGGCCGGTGTACGTTTTCACAGATCCGTACGTAGAAGATCCGGACGGGGAGTAAAGCGCCGCGCGTGTGGCACACACGCGTGGTAGGGGGTCGCAGGCGGCCTACGTCGTCCTCGACGATCTCGAGGAGCATCGCGAGAAGGTGGGAGCCACGGCGAAGCGAGCCCCTGAGTGCCTCTCCGTCGCCCAGTCGTGACTTAGCCCGCAGGTCGGACGCATCCCGGACAGACCGATACGAACGTGAGTACTTTGCGCGCGAGTACCATGTGGTACACCCTGTGCGTATATGAAGGCCAAGGGAAAGCCTCCGAGGGGAGGCCGTCCTCCGAAGCGCGGCACCCCGCGACGTCGCCGACGAGGATCCGCGAGGACACCCGCGATCGTGCGTCCTGCACTCTAGAAAGGAAAGAAGTTCTCTCCTAGATGGAAAAAGAAAAAAAAAGAAGTGTGGTGTGTCTGCGTGTAAATAGTGACGAGTGACACTTTCGCAAGGACCCGCGCGGTTTGTTTGCCGCGACAAATAGCCCGGTCCTTATGTAAATGTCATTTACTTGTCATTTACCCACATACACGCATTCTCGCACATCCTCGTTTCAGCGAATTCCGACGAACTTGAGTAAATACGCTCGTCAAGGACGAGAGTCGCGAGGCCGGTCCTCGCGATTCCGCGATATGAGGAGACATAGCTCTCGACTTTGTATTATACGGGGAGATTACTGTTCTCTCTCCGCGAAAAGAATTCCACGTACGACGAGATTGGTCGCCGATGAAAAACGGACGTGAATCTTCAACTTGACCGGGTTCAATTTCAGTGCACATAGGAATAAACGTTTTGATTCGATGTGGAATGTGCGACTGTTGTTTATTTTTGAGGATTGTTACCTTTAGGAATCTATATTCCGGTATATTTCTCGAAAAGCAGTCGTCTTATAATTGTCGTTTCGATAACTATTTGATATACGTTAATAAAAATCATATTATTTAAAGTTAAATTGATAATATTTTGTACAGATCGAGCTTAAACGATCTATCGAGCGAGTAAGTTTCCAAAATTATTCAAGACGGGAACAGTACTGTGTGCTAGGCGAATCTATAAAGCAATAACGTCTGAAATATTTTAAGCTGAGAATATAATCTTAAACTAAAAATTATGACATATTAATTCTAAGACAGATGTAAAATAAAAATAAAAAAGAAATGAGATTCTCGCGTCAAAATCGCGTTGATTGCAAATCTGATTTTCTTTACAAAGATAACTGATAAGACGATTTGGGAACCGCACCTTTTAGCAAGGACATTTGGAACATTGAAGGCTTGCAACGTTTTACGATGTCGTTCGAAGAACTGATATCGTCCAGTTTTATGATGCTTTTTTATGTCGTATAGATATCGTATAGATATAACGTAAACGATTATGTCCAGGAAGATGATTTAATCGGCATTGAACAATGAGTGACGTGTGTCTATGGCAAAAAGTGAAGTAACTCAATTGTTACGTCGACGTCGATTAGGATTACGTAGTTCTCATCTTGGAGAAGCCGAACGAGATTGCCACAATCGGCAAATTTAAAGCTATATAAAATAAAAATTACAAGAATTTTGAAGAAATTCTTAGGAAATAAACTGTTTGTAATCTCGCAGTTTTATCTTCTCTATTTTATTGAGCTAAATTATTTAAATATCGAAAGTAAAAAGATTTACTATAAAAAGAATGATTATATTAAATCTCCAAGAAATGCTCCAATTTATTATAATTTATATTATATTTAATAAAGTGATATTTAATAATCCAACAGCTTCGGTAATCGACGAAAATGAAAGAATTTCACAGAAGTGCATCACGATAACGGGTTGTCACAAAAAGTGGTCGCTACCTTCCGGAGTGCAATGACTCACATAGATTTTTTTTGCGTTCGCGCGTAACCACTGTGACAAAAAAAAACATCGCACGGACTTCCGATCTTTTCGTAGTACGGGGACAAATTTCTTTCACGCGTTCCATCAAGTCGTTGAATTAAGCACGCTTCGCTCGGAAAATAAGCTAACGTTACCGACGATTTATGCTAACGTGCAGAAAAGAAACAGCGTTATGCCACTTTAAAATTACATATATATAGAATTATGTTGTAGTATTCAGTAACTATATATCGAGTAACTCGAAAAATGTTTAAGATTCTTTAAACGTAGGAATATAAAAAATAATTTCCGTGTTATATGTGATCTAACGAAGAATTATCCATAGCATTTAATAGTCGAAGTAAAATTTCAGAAAATACCTCTTCGATCTCTTAAGAAGTGTACAACGAACTTTGATGGGAAGAGAAATAAGGCAGTTATTTTTTTCCGTAAAAAGATTATTTACGCGCGTGCTAATACGTATTTAACGACACGGAATTTCTATTTTCTCCCTGTTTCGCGCGTTTTACAATCGCAGAAGTGAACGATTCTCGATCTCGTGGGTGTGAGAAACGATAGCCGACGACACGGTTCTCTCGCAATTGGTTTTCCTCCCGTGCGCGTAACAGGACACCGCTGAGTTAAGTCACTCGGTCGGTGGCGTTTGGGAGTCAGCGCGCGATGTTCGCTATGCGTAACCCGAAATGGCTCGGCCAGGCGGCAACCATTCTCGCCGCCCTCTCTCCCCCGTTGACGCGTAAAAATAACCCGTCCGTCGCGATACGCGCGTTTTTGGATCCGAGATGAAACGCGCGCGCCCCGACGAAATTGAATTTCGTGCGATAGCACTTTCCCCCCCCCCCTCCCCTCGCGAGATTCCATTTTATTATAGCAGCTATAATTTTTGTCGTCGCACCCTCCGCGATCTTTGGAGTCTTTGCGCCTGGAACATTCCCACTTCCTACTCGACACGAAGAAACCGATTCCGTTTCGCCGGGATTATGCAGAAATGTTTATGAGACTGACGGGGGGCCACACACGCCGCGCATTATATGCCGCGTCTAACTTCGCAGAATCTTTCGGCTAATGTTTTTACTTCTACGAACATCGCGCAAACTCCATTTCCCTTTCGTTCAACGCTAGTCTGCTTACCAGGCATCTCTGATTACCGGCGAGCTTGGAATCCGCGCGTATATTCGCTCGGTGGAAGCTGTGGCAGAAACGCGGTTCCACCACCGTACAATTGCAGTGGCGCAGGCATAAGATTCTTCCAGGACCTTTAAACAGGATATTCAATAACGCAAGTGGCGAATTGCGAATTTCAGATTTACACCCTGGCAGATCGTACGTTTTTCTTGGCGAAGAATGTATAAAACTTACCAACTCGCGAAAAATATACTTGGCGCGCGAGACGCTGTCGTGTCTCTGATGAGCGAAAGAAAAGAGCGAGGAAAAAACAAGTTAGAAGTCACGAATACATTTGTATGTAAAATATATAACGATATAGGGCTAATAATAACAATTTCTGCAAAAAAAGTTAAATAAAATCAAATTATTGCAGCGTGTTTCTGCGGTGATTAGCGTCATCAGCCGGCTCTTCACGTAATAAAGCGCGTGGTTTAGTCTTCAGCTTATATCGCGATATCGATAAAGCCAAGTCATTTATTGTCCTTACACGCGAGGGAGACGCGTCGCGATGTCGAGTCGAGTCTCGTCATTGAATTTCACAACACGTCGCGCGATACCGTCTGGAAACGGAGTCGCTTTAAAGTCATTCGCTGCCCGTAAGATGATTTCGACGAGGGAGGCGACCTCCCCCCCCGCGCGCGCGTCCCTGGGACGTTTTCGTCCCCTCGATCGCGCCGTAGAAATGTCCGGTCGATTCAGGAACGATTCGCACAAACGGCCGCGGATGCAGCCGCGACGAATTTTTGTCTCCCCATCGCCCCCCCCCCTGCATGCACGGGAATCGCATACCTGAGCGGCATGACGTCACGAGACGAAAAGAGGCAGCGAAGCGCGAACGTTTGATATCGCGCGCGCTTGCCTCCGCGGCCCGGGCCCTCTCCTCAGCGGAGGAGCCGGCTCTATAAATAGGAATATCCGGTCGCTCGCTAATTATACACCTATGCACGCCCGTTCGCCGAATGGCTAATCCGCGCAAAAGCAGCCTGGAATTTTCTCGCTTTCGAGAGAGCGCCGCGGGAGAATCTCATTTCCGCGCCGCGACGGGTTTCTTCCTTTCCTCCTCCCTCTTATCCTTGAAACGTCGTAAGTTGCCGCGGAAGGATAACGGACCGACCGCGCGAACGATCGTGTGGTACACGCTATTTCCACCCTATATTGTTGCGAGGAGGCTGTAGAGGCCCGCGCATTCCTTCTCGAACAAAGAAAATTGCTGTGCGCGCGAGGAGAAAAAACGGGGCATAATTAATTGCTCAACGGAGCGATTTAGGATTCGGTTAGCGAAAGCGTAAAAAAAAAGCGGGGAAAGCAAAAAGCCTCGACGCTAATTGAACGGCTTTGTGCCACGGTAAATTAACTGACGAGAATTTTTCGCGGCTGACAATCGCTGTCGGGTAGAAATTAGTAAATTATTATTTGTAACATTAGTTTTTGTGATCGCCCGCATAATTTTGATAATTCTCAACAACGCGTTTTTCGAGTCGGTGTATCGCAATTATAACAATACTTTAGTTTTTTTTCTTTACAATTTTTATATACACAGATCATCGTTTAACTAGTTATGATCGGACAAGGAAATATACAATCGAAATATACTAAATATTTTTATTTAGACCTGCATAAACACACGAAAGATATATTATTTCGTCATATTATTTCATCTCATTTGGTTACGAAAGGGGAGATTAAAGCGGAACGTTTCCCTAATCGACGTCTGCGAATTTTTTATGTCAGTCTCTAATCGCATTCCTGTTCGATGTCGCAGGTTTTCTTTCATTGGACGAGTGAGGAGATAAAAACACCACCATGGACGCGATCAAGAAGAAGATGCAGGGAATGAAGCTGGAGAAGGACAACGCGATGGACCGCGCGTTGCTCTGCGAACAGCAAGCTCGTGACGCGAATGCGCGAGCTGAAAAGGTATAAAAATTTCTGACATCGATCATAATTGTTTACGCAGAAATATGTAAGAATTTTATAATCACGAACTTAAAAACGATTGAACTCATATGACAATTTATTTATCTTTCGAAATAGCGTTAAAAGTATTAAGTTAAATTATATGATAATGCATTTCTAAATAGTTTTTGAAGAAGAACTAATGAGACGTTTCTCGATCTAAATAGGCTGAGGAAGAAGCTCGCGCTCTCCAAAAGAAGATCCAGACCATCGAGAACGAGCTTGACCAAACTCAGGAAGCTCTTATGCAGGTCAACGCAAAATTGGAGGAGAAAGACAAGGCTCTGCAAAACGTAAGTCAAGCAAATATTTTTTATTGTTCGACGAACCAAGTATTCAGCATTATTGCCCGATCAAGCGGGAAATGAACTTTTATTTAGTAATTATATTGACTTATTGTTTGATCAATAAGATCAAATATTTATGTATTTTGTGGACACTGGTTCGCCTATCCCCTTATTTTCTGCAGCATTCAAAAGCTTTCCATACCTATACAGAACTTCGATTGCCTCCAACGAACTCTGCCAACTCAGCGAAATACGAAATTCGAAAATGAAAAGTATTCAAAGGGTTCCAAATCCGAAATTGTGAAAAAAAAAATATTTTGATTTTCGTGTTTCTCATTTATTCGCGCAATAGAAACAATGAGTATGATATGCAATTTTTGTGTATATTGATATAGACAAAAAGAAAAGTCCTAAGGTTTTTCATTACAGAATTATTTAAATTTCATTCGTATCAGATAATTTATAAATCGAATGCCAAAGAAAATTTTGACATAACCGAGGACCTCTTGATTAGATTCGCAAAGAAATGCGGCGGTGCGAGTTACCGACAGCGCGCGACGTGAGCGCGCGCCGATCGATGGCGCCACTCGCTCGCGCAGGCGCAATCTGTACCGCCAAACGGCGCGTCCGTTCGTTCGCCGTTCACTGCGAACTTGCAAAGTCGCAAACAGCGCGTCCGCGACACGCGTATCTTTCGCGGTATTCCGCGTTGTTCGCTCGGGTATCTTCGGCTCTGCCCCCACTCGCGCTTCGCACGACCGCGTGGTGGGGATGTCGCTCTCGCTCGCCGTATGCGCGAGCGAGACAGACGCAGCGTGCCCAGCGCACGGCGCAGAACGGCGGCGGTTTTGTTCTTTGTGTACGCGCGCCACCACCGTATCGCGTCGCGTATACGCGGGCTGCGGCGCGGCGTGTGTGTGACGGTGCAACACAGCCGGTGGACAGTACGACGTTGGCGCGGGGGAGAAAACGTGCGTCGCGCGATCAGTGACAGACAAGATGGCGGAGTGCCTGGTGCAGTGGTAGTAGAGCGCGGGTGCATATCGCACGGGTCGCCGCGTCACGCGCGCGTTCGCCAACGCAGGGGGGAGGGGAGGTGTTACGGTCGCTGGCGAGAGAGAGCCCTGGAGCCTGGACAACGCGACAACAGCTGGACGTGACATGGAGCGGACGTTCTCGGCGGCGGCGAGACGCCGCGGTCACCAGCACCATCCGCGGCACACCACGCGACGACGTCTCGACGCCTCCAGCAGAGGACCCGCGCAGTGTGGCCCTGCTGACACCGTCAGGAACAATAACACCACGTTCACCGGCGACGAGACGTCATTGCCCGCCAGCGTGGCCGTCGACGAACGACTTGACCCGACGGAGCCGCGTCCGTCCGTGCCGCAGGTGACACTCGGCGCGAGATGGCCAACGAGGATCAGCCAGATGATCGAGACGAAGGCCTCCTCGAGAACTCAGGTTCTCGAGGAGAAGAAAGAGATGACGGAGGCGGAGGGGGACCATAGGGACGACGACGTCCGACAAAGGCTCGCGCAGTGTAGCCCGGACGTTCCCGCTCTCGGCGATGGTAAGGACATCGCCGCCGAGCGCGGCGGGACGCAGGATCGGGCGGGCAGGAAGAGGAGATCCCCCCGATCCAGTCCACGTGGGAAGAGCACTCCGGCGGATCGCGACGAGAGCGATCCGCGGAGCGGGAGCAACTCGCCCGAGCCCGAGCACGCGGTCGCGAGGGCCCGCGGCGACGGCAACTCCGACGACGAGTCCGCCAACGTCGAGGAGGACCCGGAGCTGGCGGAGCTCGCCAAGCTACGTTGCCCCAGCGAGCGCACGGAGGTCCAGGCCGAGCGGGAGGCCCGCAGACGGAAGAGATGCGCCGACTATCCCGGTCTCGCCTTCGGCTGCTCCATATTCTCCAGCGACACGATGATGAAGTTCAGTCTGATAAAGAACGAACTCCAGAATATCATGGGCAATCAGCTGAAGCGGGTTAGTATCGCGCGCGCCGCCGAAATAGCGGCCGCGATAAGTAAAACTCGCGACGGGTCTCTGTCCAGTCTCAAGGTCGTCGAGACCTTGATAACGCCGCCGGCGCCGGGCCGCGCCGCGCCGGTCAAGAGGTCCTCGGGGTCGTCTGCTATTTCGTCGGGCTCGACGAAATTATTAAACTCACAACTCTTTGAATACTTGCGTTTTCTTCCCTCGATACTTTTGGTATTGAGAAAAACGATGACGATATCCTTGAGTATTTGATAAAATTGCATTACTCATGAACGAGTCAAAGAACCGACGTTAATGAAGCGTGAATGAAAGCGGTATACAGGGTGTACCGGAAAGATGGGACGTTTTGGTCATCCTTCTCTCCTAGGTCCTGAATCTAGATCAAGGTTTATGTTTACCACCAGATGTCCATTTACAAACCCTAAAACTTTTGTATTTAACATTTTTTTCAAAAATGTCATCCGTTCAAGTTAATTCGGGGTACTCATCTTTCTGGTACACCCTGTATAATGCTCGGTAATATTTTAAGATCATTGCCTTCAAAGTGAAGTCGATAATCGATGTAGTATATGTTGAATGTTATCGGGCTATCCATTTCTATATAGCGATAACATCTCGAAACATTACTAGCGCATTACGTTGCTGCAAAATTAATGACTTGCATGATATAGGAAGAAATAATTATTATCTGATTCTAATAACTCAAATATCGCAAGAATGTAACATGAATCTGTTATCCAAAATTATTTCAAGCTTGGTTCTAAAATTGATTGGTTGACTTGAAAAGTAATAAGCACTAATAAAACTCTTTTGACTTTATAGTTCATTTTTTCTTATCTATGACGTGTACGTACACACTTCTAGTTGCAATAATAAAAATTACACGTAGCACGAATTACCAAGATCGCATGTGACACCGAAAATTCGCGGGAGATACGTACGATTGGATGATACCTCGAATTTCGTATTATCAGAAAATAGCTTTTAACGACAATCGATACCACTTGGTGTAACGCACGTTTTTCAGACGATCAATCGATATCATGATCGTTAAATGAAGAAAAAAAGACGGACGGACTTCATGCTCGTTGCGTTATTGAGTGCAATAGGCGTTTATTTGCAATTAAAATCACGCGAGAATCGTCGCGGTCATTTTCACTCGTGAAGGATATGAACTCGAGTCGGCTTTTGATATTAAGTACCGAGCAAAGATTTATATAATTGCGCGATCTTACTGAATTGTTTGATATATGTAGATTTTCAAGAATACATCAGTTTACATCACGTTAAACTGATAGATTATCTTTACGTGTGTCTAATAACATCCGTTATTATTTTCACGTAACATAACTGTTTTCTTTCACGGTTCTAACAACCAGAACTGATTACCAACTTGCGCAGGTTTGTATAAAAAAATTAAAAAGTTTTAAACACTTCTGTTGAGCCTTAATTATCGAGCTATCAACGGTCTGAAATCATCAAATTGGCATTTTATCTGCATCAATCGCGACAACGATCGAATAATCAAAGAGTCAAATGACAAAGTTATGTAAGTTAATTTTTATTATACAAACTGAATTAAATATCTTATTACATAACATAATATAATAGGGGTATTCAAATAAGTTAGAGTTTAACGGTTTGGCAGGTTATGTCGGGTTAAAGTCGGGTAAAAAGTTAATTTTTACACTTTTAACCCAAAGATTAATGTGATAGGTTAATGAAACACTTATGTATTTTGCATAACCTTAAAGAGTAGCGCGCCCAAAGTTAATTAATTAACTTTTTACTCGATTTTAACCCGACATAACCTGTCAAACCGTTAAACTTTAACTTATTTGAATACCCCTAATATAATAAGCTAAATTTGTCCAAAAACAATTCAAGTCACTATATTTTCTTGATACGCGATCGTTTCGATATTTAACGTATCTCAATACTTTCAAATATCTGTCGAAATTTATCAAGAAATTCCAATTTTCCGTTAAAAATTACAGTGATTTATTGCATCGAGTATTTATTATCCCGGGTAAACGTCGAGATAAACCGAATAATATATAAGTTTTCGGATATTGGCAGCGCTATAAAAAGAACCCGCTGCAAACAGGCCGTCCCTGGAACGACAGCCGAGAAAGTGCTAACGACGAGTTAGCGCGAGATCCTCTTGGCGACAAATGGCATTTATTATTAGGGTTACTGAACGAGGACAATAGGTTACGCGCGCACGATTCTCTTGCCTAATACACTGATAGAAAGCCGTTACCCACTAGATAGAATGTATCGCATCGTTATCTACTCCAATTCGAAAACATCAAATCGTTCGTACTCCAATATTTTTCTGAATTTCTTTTCGAAATCAATATTTATATTTAATAATATCTATAATATTCATTAATATCTATATTTTATTAATAATTACATTGTCCATTCGAGTTTAATTTGCCATTTACCAAATAATGCATCACATATTGTATATTTCGGTTCACGAATATCAGCCCGCTTTTTTCGGATTACTTTTTGGAGCAAAAACTGCATGGAACATTATGTCGCATTGAGCTCTGTACTCGGTTTGTCATTCGATTTTAAATGCTTTATTTAATTCCTCTACCATTATTAATTTTAATTTGAAAAAGGCGTCAAGCGGTTCAATGCAGTTTTTTTAGTAATAGTTTTGTTTTTGAAGTTAAAACTGATATCGTTTTATGAGACCCATACTTTATCAATCGCGGTCTGCGAGAATTTACGATTAAATAATATATTGCGCGGATAAATAATTAATAGAGAGAGCACATCGTATCTCTTTTCGAAAACGCGTTTTCCAAATCGTATTTTGTGCCAAAATCTGTCAGGCTTTATTAATCACTATCTAATTATATATAGAAGTTTTAAAAGTGGATAAATCATCTATCTTTGATGTAGCAAAATGACGTGTTTAAAAATAATTTTATTAATTTAATAATAATTAACATTGAATTTAATAATAACTAACATTGAAAATAAACCGGAGCAAAAAAAACGTATCTTTGTCGCTTGCGTCAACCTCCGCGTTACATCGGAGCATGCCAACCGCGTATAATGGAATATACTGCATTACGGTACATCGAATCATTAAGTATTGCAGTATATTTTATGATGCCTCGATGACATCCGGGATCGAGACGCTCTACTCGCTTGTAATGCCAGGAAAACCAGTTTCAAGAATAAGATAATCGTAATAAAGGCAAGATAAAATACCTTCTTTATTTACATTACACCATATGATACTTACGTAATTTTTTATTCGGATTCAGTCTTTGGATTTAAAAATCTTGTTACAGCGTTCGTTAACGCTCGAGTTTCATCGGCGAACTTTCTTCTTCATCGCGAGAATTGAATTTGTCTCTGTCGTCAACTGTCTTTATTCTCGCCGGTAACAGCCAATTGAATCTCTTTCGACGACGATCGACGCTGCTCGCTCGTTGTCGTTATCGTCATCGGACAATGGAAAGCACCCTGATCTCCGGGATGTTCCTCTCGATGATACTTCCGTCATTCCTTTTTCGGGGGGCCCCACCCTTTTGCATATGCGTCTGGTTTGCATGCGAGTCTGCTCAAGCTTACACCCCACGATCCGACTCGTCAACATTCTAAAAATACGTGACGGCCGTGATCCAGCGAGACTTTTATTCGGGAGCGCGGGACCAGATTGCGTAAGCTCCCGGCTCCCGCATCCTCTTCACGAGTAAATCCGGCGCGTGTATATGCGCATCTAATAGGAATCGCACCTTGAGATGTGCAAAACACCCACGCCACCTCAATGATTTGGAACACAATTCCAAAAATCTTCTAAAAAATGTTCCTTATCTATTAATACATTTAGCCCCCTCTTCCGTCCTGGCTTCTCTTTGTTTATATTAATCAAAATTAGAGACCGCCAGACTGCCTGGACTTGTACATAAGATTATACATTATAATTTTTTTCTTGGAGTGACTTTTGTCTCGAAGAACTTAATGACGCGGCTCGCGGCTTATAGTTCGAGGAACGGTGCCTTAAAAATAATTTAAAGGCTCGGCTTAAACGACAAGAAAGCATCGGCGATCAAAGCTGCATCAATATAAATTGAAAACCCATTTGTGTCGTTAGTCGTTATCTCCGTTGCGAAGTATCGTTGCAAAACGCCCACGCATGACGCGAGGATTTGGAACGCGCGCTAATTTCGTTCTTCTTCGGCTCTTTGTCGCGCGACGACCTTTGAAGCTCCTTCCCATGGCTGCCCTCCTCCTCTTATCGGCCGATGCGCGATGTTTGCACGCCACATTCCGCGATTTCTCGCTATTCCGACACGCTACCGCGATCAATGTTCGCGGACTGTGCGGCGACTTGCGACACGAATAAACGTTCCTTCTTCGCTAGGTGAAAGCCGAAATGACGTTCGCGGTCATCGTTACGAGAGTATTTTAGCCTATTTTATTTAGCTGCGTATATACCGCATACCTTTTACTTTGCGAGATCAAGGAAGGAAGAAGTCGCGCGAGAGAAAGAGAACAGATCATGCGATTTCTCAACAAGATTGAAACAATGCCAAGTCGAGTATCTGGGAAACAGATGGTTCTTATCGGAATTTGGAACCGACGAGCTATTAAAAAGATCAAATCGAGGCCAATACGAGCCTGAAAACGCGGACGTTCGTGCGATAACACAATTACTTTCTTTATGCGCTTTTAATGATTTTCAATTGATTTTCTTTATTTAGACTGATAAGTTAACGAAATTTGTAGCCGATATTGGCATGCGTCGCGTGGAACATTTGACTATATCGATTATACTTTTTATTGCAAAGTAAAAAGAGCAGAAAATCTGCTGGGAAAGTGCAGCTGCAGCAGCTTTCTCAACAGAATTGGAACAA